TATAATAATTTTTTAATACACTACTCGACTTGCATATCCCTGTATAAACATTGAAAGAGAAATGTCTTATTTATGTGTCGGCCATCTGGCGGCAACATTATGAAAAACAAAGTGCTTCTCACCCGCTGGAAATATATCACGTAACACGACACGCCGCGGCGTGACGTGCAACATTCAAAAATTAATTTATCGAAAACAAAAAAAACGGTTTTTTGAAAATTGAGTATGTCATCGGAAAAAATCTCAGCTTTCATTTAAAAATGAGAAACAAAAAATAATGACCCAAAGATGAGAAAAGTGAAAATATATTTTTATTTTTTCAAAATTTATGTCAAAATAACAAAATTTTTGAAAATAGACTGCGGAATTCGAAAGCTTATGAAAAAATCTATAAAAACCATGTCCCATTTTTTTAAAATTTTTCCTTTGCAGTATGATAAATAATCAAAGTGAAGCGTGTCACGCAAAAGTGCAAAACTTTTACCCCCTCCCCCTTGTACAATTTTTCATAAAATTCAAAAATATTTGTCTGACAAATTACTAACCTGTAGGACATGTTATAAAAAAATGTTGGGAATAATTGGACTTTATGATTATATGTTTATATTATCTGAAACGTACTTTTTTTTAATCTCATAAAAAAAGCAAAATTAAATTGCATATATTTCCAAAAACCGTAATAACTAAATTTTATAGATAAAAAGAGAATAGCAGAATGTGCCGTTTAAATTTAATCTTGGATATGAAAAAAAAATTATTTTACGTACAAAATTCTTTAATAACGATTCAAATATATATTTTTAATTGTTTACATTATTTTTCAGTTAATATTACTATAAACATGATTAATAATAGCTATTATTAAATTATTTAATGAAATTCATTTTTTAAAAATGTTTTCTAAAAATTGCTATAAATTTAAATTTGTAAAATTTGTAAATTTCAAAATTTCATACTTCTAAAATTAATCTTTTTCCAAACGACAAAGCGATGAACTTCAGTTCAATCGTGAAAACAAAAATTAAATGAAAATTAGGTTAAATTTATCTAATTTTTAAAGTTTAATAAAAAAGTAACCAGTAGAGTGCCCACAAAAATTCAAATTAAAACGGACGTATAGTGTTAGTATTAGTTAAATTTAAAAGGTTTTTTTTAAATTCTATTTTCTCCACAAAAGATATGCGTTACAGAAAAAGGCGTACATAACACTCTGCAAGATCGAAAAAATACCGATTTAACTATTTTGGTGAGTAATTTCAAGTTAATTAACGTCGATTCTAATGAATTTAGTAAATATATACTTAAAATAATAAAAAGAAATTATTTTTTTTCATTTTACAATAACTTTTAGTGAGTTGTTGTAAAATGGATTATGTTTGGCAGCGTAACCTGTTACATATTTCACTGGAATGACCCTAAAATTAATCAATATTATTTTATTTTATGAATCTGCATTTAAAAAAACACCTTATAAAATGAAAATGAAATAAAAGTTGAAAAAAATTATTTGAATAATTGTTTCGTTTACTCTCTAAATCTAAATTAGTAAAAATGTTTACTAATTTAAATTAGTGACTCACTTTTTGCTTATGAATGAGTAAAATTTTACTAATTTTTAGTAACCTTTACTAACAATTAGTAACATTTAAGAGAGACTCACTTTTTGCTTTAGAATTAGTTAAATTTTACTAATTGTCAGTAAAAGTTACTAATAATTAGTAAAAATTTTTTAATTTATAAGCAAAAAGTTAGTCACTAATTCAAATTAGTAAACATTTTTACTAATTCAGATTTAGAGAGTAAAAAATGTCATCAAATGCTATAAAAGTATTTTCACTAGTTTTTTTTTACAAATTTTACATATGGCAACCAGGCCTGGCCCTGGTCGGACCCATAGAAATTTACGAACCCGGGTTCAGAACAGGAAATCGGATCGAGGCCAGGTCGATAATCGGGATGAAAAGTAGCAATTTCTACACGGGTACACTGAAAAAAAATTTTAGTTAGAATAACCAGAATTCTAGTTAGAATAACCAGAATTCTAGTTAGAATAACCAGAATTCTAGTTAGAATAACCAGAATTCTGGTTAGGGTATATTTAACATTTTGATTCTGGTTATTTTAACAAGAATTCTAGTTAATTCAACTAGAATTCTGGTTATTTTAACAAGAATTCTAATTAATTCAACTAGAATTCTGGTTATTTTAACAAGAATTCTAATTAATTCAACTAGAATTCTGGTTAACATAACTAGAAAGTAATGTTAAATATAGCCTAACCAGAATTTTTTTTTCAGTGTAGAGATCAGTTTGAAAAATTTTGATTAATTAACTGTGAAAACCGTTAAAAGTAATTTTCACTTATCGATTGTTATGCAAAAATGACACGCTTTTTCGAGTTGAGTCCTTATTACACTTCTGTTTAGTATTTAATTGAACCTCCCAATTCTGTAACTCGTTTAGCGCTCGGCCGCACGCTCTATTGGTAGTCGGGTAGCACCGAGGGAGCCATTGACGCTCGCTGCTACCCGACTACTAATAGAGCGTCCATCCGACCGGTAAACGAGTTACAGAATTGGGAGGTTTAATAATGCGTTGAATGAAAGTTTTTTGAACAGGATTCGTTAAAAATTAGCTAAGTTATTGCAATTTTTGTTTCCATAGTCACACTAATAGATTTAATTAACCATTATATTCTCTTTTTTCTGCTTTTAATTATTATATAACACTGTGTTATTTGATCTATTAAATGGTGTTTCTTTTAAATACAGAAATTATTGGTTGAAATACAGTTTATTAAATTCAAATAAAATTTTGGTTCAAGTAAATATATATGCGTATATATTTGATATTAGTCAAGTAACTGATTATTTGAATCGAATAAATTTTTTTTCAATGTTTATGAAAAATATCAATCACTTTCATTTAAAATATTATTTGTTTGAATAAAAATTAAACATAATATAGTTGAACTAAAAATATCCTTTTCTCAGTGTGTATATTATATTACCTATTTAAAAAAAAACTAAAATAATTGGCAAAGAAAAAGAATGTTTTCTCTGCGGCTGAATAAAAGGCAATGAACCATAATAGTGCTCTGCATGTAATTTATCAGACTGATAAAAAAAATCTCGGCAATAAGAAATCATTATAATCATGTCATTACGCAAATAAGGAAAGCTCTGCTCTGTTTTTCATGCAAGTTAAATGCAAAAAAATGTGGCTACTTGCATATATACTGCACGCGTATATTTATATATATATACATTCGCAAGTAAACGAGATATACAAAGGCGCATCACAGATAATTAGAAGGAACAATTATGATTACGGTAAATTTGCACGTGCGTACCTGATATTCGCGTTAAAACGTTCAACAGCCTATACACGAGAAGACATACGTCTGCAAAAAGCGTAACTGTGTTCTCCCAAAAAATTCTCTTTTCACTTAAGTAGATCGAGATTAAAGCAAGATGTCTGGCGTGGTTCGTGAATTAAAAACATTTTGTCCTTTCTCAAAAGTAATTATAGTCTCTTGAGCACAAAATCTTCATTTTAAGAGAATATATAAAATAGTCGTAAACTTCCTTTTCCACACTCTTAATTAAGTCACCTTCTGCTACTTTATGTAGAGAAGATATGACGTGTAAAAGTCTTTTTTTTAAGCTATTATTTTACTGTCGATGCTTTTTGTATAATGTTAGCTTTTTTTTAGTAATTTTTCATTAAATATTTAGATTTTTATTATTTGGCATTTCATTTATTTTTCAAGCAGAAAAATGTTTTTCTCTAACTTTAAAAATTTTAGGTGCTAAAAAATGACGCTTAGCAATTTTTCCGGTTTGTCAAATCGCTATTTTTTTTACGTTTTTCTAGTGATTTTAAATAATGTCGGATATATTTTTTTACACTGAAAAGTATATTTCATTATTTTAAGTAATAAATAATTTATATTTTTTGCTTAAAAGTGTCGAACAATAAACATTGATTTTAAAACACATTTTTCTCGAAACACGGACACTTTTTACAAAATCGGCCAAAACTCCAAGGATCCTTATCTTATAAATTTTCTAAATCCGAAAGATTGTGCGAATTCATAAAAAAAAGGCGATTGAAAAACGAAAAGTAGGAAAGTAATATAATGACAAGTTCATTACGTACTGTCACCGTCAGATGGCAGAAGCATACAGGGAGCACAATGTCGCAGCTGTCATTATATTATTTTCCTACTTTTCGTTTTTCAATCGCGTTTTTTTTATGAATTCGTACAATCTTTCGGATTTAGAAAATTTATAAGATAAAAATCCTTTGTGTTTTGGCTGATTTTGTAAAAAGTGTCCGTGTTTCGAGAAAAATGTGTTTTAAAATCAATGTTTATTATTTTCACGTTCAGTGCCTTTTTTTTATAGGGCGATAATTAAATACCAAAGAATTTCAGAGACCGTTTGAGACTCTTAATTTACTTAATTCGACACCCAACTCAAAATAAATCCAAGTTTTTTCTGTGCCTTTAGTTTAAAAATAATTGATCATAGATTGAAAATCGTTACTTTTTCAAGGTCATCGATTGGGAATCCGATGTTAATTTTTTTTCAAAATTCAAAATAATGAATCCAATACGGCGGAAGAATTTCTAATAATTAATCAAATTAGCCTGAAATTTCAGAAACGTTAATTTTATATCAGATTTGTAATAAGAAATCCGAAAAAATTCATTAACTTCGCAACATTTTAACAATTCAGAATCAAAATTTAATTGCCAGTGAAAAAATGTAATGAAATTCGTAAATTTTTCAAAATTGTATTATAAATTTAATGTTATTTTGTTTTCATTAATTTCATAATTAGTATCGTTATCATTGAACTTTGACATGTCCCTTTCCGATACTTTCTTAAAAAAAATATATAATAAAAACATTTGAAGATAAATTAATTTTTTATATCAATTTAAAAGCATTTCTATTGATTACAAATGTTACTTCATTCTGAATTATATCTTCTGTAGGATTAGTCTTATATTTTTCGAATAATAAATTTCATTTTCAATTTGTATTCAATTTGCTTTCTATTTAATAATATAAAAAAAAATCGCTTACAATATGGAAAATAAAAATTTGTTACTAGTAATATCGTTATTTATTTTATCTTTCGATATTAAATCTCGTGCGGAATCGGTAGTTAATATTTCCGAAGGTTTACTTAAGGGAACAATAATTACATCGCGAAATGGAAGAAATTTTTCAGCTTTTATAGGCGTACCTTATGCGGAACCACCAATTGGTGTTTTGAGGTAAAATTAAAAAATTTACTTTTTAAATATAAAAAATTCATTTGAAAGTAAAAATTTTTTGCTACAGTAAATTCTATTTGTACATATACATAAATACTTTTTTATTATTTTTATTTGAATATTAAATGTAATTGAAAATTAAGTTAAAACGGATTTGTAAAATTTTTTATTATAGGGTAAGTGTACCAATTACGGCGAGTGCATCAATTACGGCGCGTTCATAAAAAATAACTATTATTACTATTATATATTTAATATAACTGTTGCAAAATATGATTAAAATAAAATATTTTAATCTTTTTTTGATACAATTAATTATAAAGATGCACATCTGAACAATTATTAATTTTATTATTTAAGATTAAATTTTTTCCCTCGCCGTAATTGAAATATTTTTAAGATTTCCATTGGTTTCAATTACAGCGGGCAAAGTATCTTCAAAATACACGTTATTTTGGTCACTGAAACTGATACAAACGCTATTAGTTTTAATTTCTCATATTTGTTTAAATAATCGATTTTTATAAAGTTAAAATTTTTTTTAATATCCTAAATCACATAACCTTTCAGTTTAATAAGTCTTTAAATGTCGAATTTTCTATTTCAAAGGTATTTTGACTCGAATCGCGCCGTAATTAGTACATTTACCCTATATAAATTAATTATTATATTTTTAATATTTAATATTTTTAGGTTTAAAAGTCCAGAACCAGTAAAAAAATGGAGTGAAACTTATGTTGCAAATAAAGAAGGAAACGCTTGTCCACAACCTGTTAAAGGGAAAGTAGATGGAAAGGAAGATTGTTTATATTTAAATGTTTTTACGCCAAAACTACAATTTAATGAATTAATGGTATGCTCATTTTATTTGGGTCACTAATTACAAATCTGATGTCAGTTTTTCAAAATTTTAAATTTACTAACCCAATATGGTGATCAAAGAAATTTTCAAACCGTCAAATGAAAATTCGATCAAATAAAAATTCGGCTAAAAAATTCTATCAAATAAAACTTTTTAACTTTGGATCTAGAAGACTGTCATATAAATCAACCTGATTTGGTTTGTTGACTAAAATTTTATTTATTTCTTTATCAGGAGAATGAAACTTTGTTACCAGTGATGTTTTGGATTCATGGTGGTGGATTTCATACCGGAAGTAGTCGTTTAAATTTATATGGTCCCAATTATCTAATGGATAAAGATATTATTCTTGTCACAATAAATTATCGATTGGGAATCTTAGGTTTTCTCTCAACTGGCGATGATGTGGCGCCAGGTAATTTTGGAATGAAGGATCAGGTTTTAGCTCTGAAATGGGTTCAAAATAATATTCAAGCATTTGGAGGAGATCCTAAACGAGTTACAATATTTGGTGACAGTGCAGGAGGAGCTTCAGTCACTCATCATGCAATGTCTGATAAATCCAACGGTAAAATAATCCGTATTGTACTAAAATTAAAATTTTTCAAGTCATTCTTTAATGAATCATTTAAGTATATAATATTATTTCTCGCGTGCAGGCCTTTTTCATCAATACATTGCACAAAGCGGTAATCCATTGGTTCCTTGGGGATATAGAGACAAAAATGATATTAAATCTGATGTAAATGCAATTGCACAAAAATTGGAATGTCCAATAAGTGATTCCACGCAAATTGTAAATTGTCTACGTGATGTGGATTATTATACATTGGTGAATTTAACAACGTATGAGGTTTTGGATTTTGCTGAATTATTATGGGTGACGACAAATGAAGTTGAATCGAATGACGCCTTTTTAACAGATAAGCCTGAGAATTTAATTGATCAAAATAAATTAAGAGACTATCCATTAATGACTGGTTCTGTTGCCGATGAAGGATTATACGTTACTGCACGTAAGAAGAAACATGATATAGAGATATGTTTAAATTTCCCATTGAAATTAACGGTTAAAATTTTAGAAATTTAAATTTTCATGAATTTTATTAGATATAATTATTTTTTAGACAAATTTTAATTTTTCCCAATTGTCATTTGAGCTTTCTAAACAAATTTTCCTATACAAACTGCATGAGAAACTTTCAAGGACCTGGCGGTACCATTAAATATTAATCGATTTTAAAATAAAAAAAAATACGGGTCCCTTTTTTTCTATTTAGAACAATTCTACAGTGAAAAAAAACATTTATTTGATTTAAATAATTGGTTACTTGACTATTGTCAAATAAATATTTACTTGAACCAAATAATTTTTATTTGAATTAAATGAACTGTATTTGAAGCAATAATTTCTGTATTTGAAATAAATACAATATTTAATAAACTCAAATAGTAATTATTTGATACAAATAAATATTTATTTGATAATAGACAAGTAACCGATTATTTAAATCAAATAAATTTTTTTTTCAGTGTATAGGGGGCAGCAGCAATAAAATTCTAAAAAATTAATTTTCCTGTGTATTTAATTTTTGGGCCACTCTACCTCACATGATATACTGATCAAAAATGAAAAATAATTTGTTTTACAATTTTTTACATTATTATTTTAAAATTTATCTTTTGCAGCCTTATATACAAATAATACTTCCACATCTGTTGAAAGTGCCCTTAAAAAATGTATTAATGGGACGTTTAATCGTATTCCATCGATCAAGGATTTATCGAAATTTGAAAAAATTATCATTGATTATTATTTTGATAGTACAATTTCTTCAACTAATAAGATGGTAATTTAATAATTTTTAGTTTCACTAATTGTAAATTTCAAAACATTAATGACTTTTTTTAATTTAAATAAATGCAATAATAATTGTCATTTAGAAAAATATTCAAAGAAGTAAAAGCCGCATTTGACGCTGTACGGCGTTTACTATTACCAATAGTAAACACTAGGAGCGCTACCATCGTGACACATGACAAATTCAAATTTAGATGAGAGTACTGACTATATTTTTAAAGAAACATTATGACGTCAAATTAATCGAAAAACAAGGCATATCATGTTTTAACTCAGGACCTCAATTTTTTTTGCTTAAACCCTTCATTTTGGGGGAAAAATAAAGTACCTAAATTTGATACTTCGAACTCCTACTGGAACCTAAAACTTTTTTAAGAAATAGGTGCAAAAAATGAGTTTTTTTTTCAAATTGCCGCCTTTCATGACATTTTAGCATAAAAATAGTTTATAAAATTTTCAGTAATTTAATAAAAAAATGAACACTGTAGCTCAAAAATTGAACGAGATATAGCTCTTGATTCTCTATTGATTCTCTTATGCTTCTCTTGATTTTCTATTACTACTCTTGGTTTTCTTTTACTTCTCTTGATTCTCTTTTGCTTTTATAGATTATATGATTTTGATGGTAGGCATGGTAGGTTCCGCTCCATTACTCTGAAGTTGCAAAAGAATAGAAAAACAATTAGTACGGTTATATTAACTAACTCTTTTGCGAATTTTAAATATAAGACGGTTTTAAGGGTTGGCCATAGTTTAAAATAATTTTTACTATAAAATATATATTACCCCAAAATCTTGTTTCGTTCAACATAAGAGGTTGGTTGCACCCTAAAAAAAGTAATCTTGATTCTAGCGAATTCCTCTTAATTTGATGCATATTTTCCTCTTATATATTGTATCAAAAGTAATAGTCTTCACTTGAGAGGATTTTCCTCTCGCATATAATTTGACAATTATGGTTATAAACTAATAAAAAAAAGCTATTATCATGCACTAAATTAAATATCTTTAATTAAATATTAAATATAATGAATGATTTATAGTTAATTACTTACATTAATTAATAGATTTGTTTATTTATTTAACTTTAATTCAATATTTTTGACATCAGAACCTCAAAAAAATTGTTTTGTTTTATTATTAGTCACCAAAGAATAAAAATATTCTACATTCAAGTGGAATACTTTTGTTTTAAGAGGAAAAATTGAGAGGATATTAGAAGAGGATTTTTCCTCTAAATATGAGATTACTTTTTTCAGGGTGTGCTATTTAACTGTATGGAGGAATAAGTTGATGTTCCGTTTAAAGGAACAAAGTTTTGTCTTTCGGAAAATGTATTACTCTCATCCTGATGAACACTAGTTGGTCTTTCATACGAAGCAAGAGTGTTGTAAGAGGTATTATATCCATCTGGACAAATGAATCACAATCGTATAAAAGCAAAAAAGAGAATCAAGGGAAGTAATCGAGAATCAAAATTAAATCATCTATAAAAGCAAAAGAGGATCAAGAGAAGTAATCGAGAATCAAAATCATATAATCTATAAAAGCAAAAGAGAATCAAGAGAAGTAAAAGAAAACCAAGAGTAGTAATAGAAAATCAAGAGAAGCATAAGAGAATCAATAGAGAATCAAGAGCATCAATAGAGAAGCAACAGAGGACCAAGAAAATTAAAAGCCCAGATAGCACGTTATTTCGCAGCGAGTTCGTAACGCGAAGTTCGGTAACTCGCATTGCGAACTCCCTGCGAAGTAATGGTGAATATCAAAATGTCCTCCTACTGGCGAGTTCGCTTGGCGAACTCGCCGAAAAGTTGCAATGCAAACTAACTGAAAAGTATAAATGCGAACTAACTAAAAAGTATATATGCGAACTTGCTAAGAAGATTAAATGCGAATTCGTTGAAAAGTTCAATTGCTAATTAACATGAGCAATTTTTAATGCGAATTTGTTAAAAATTTAAAATGTTAATATAAATGAGAAATTTTTCAGAAAATAATTGAATAATAAAATGGATATTAAAAGGATAGGATGGGAAAGACATAAGAAACAGCAATATTTTTATAATTTTTGAAACTAATTTATTAAACGTTGTCTTTTGCGTGTGTTTGCAAAATTAAAATAAAAAAGTTAAATTCAAAGAAAAAAAAGAAAAGTGAAACCCCAAAAAAAGACAAAACAAATCATTTTTCTCATTTATATTAACATTTTTAATTTTTAACAAATTCGCATTAAAATTGCTCATGTTAATTAGCAATTGAACTTTTCAACGAATTCGCATTTAATCTTCTTAGCAAGTTCGCATATATACTTTTTAGTTAGTTCGCATTTATACTTTTCAGTTAGTTCGCATTGCGAACTCGCCAGTAGGAGGACATTTTGATATTCACCATTACTTCGCAGGGAGTTCGCAATGAGAGTTACTGAACTTCGCGTTGCGAACTCGCTGCGGAATAACATCCTATCTGGGAGAGAACTAAAATTTTGACTCAGGTGCTATATCTCGTTCAATTTTTGAGCTACAGTGTTCATTTTTTTATCAAATTACTGAAAATTTTATAAACTATTTTTATGCTAAAATGTCATGAAAGGCGGCAATTTGAAAAAAAAACTCATTTTTTGCACCTATTTCTTAAAAAAGTTTTAGGTTCCGGTAGGAGTTCGAAGTATCAAATTTAGGAACTTTATTTTTACCTCAAAATGAAGGGTTTAAGCAAAAAAAAAATTGAGATCCTGAGTTAAAACATCTAAAAATGCTAACTTGACTGTACTATTAATAATAATATATTTTTAAAACACATTATTTTACAGTTATTGGACAACTTTACTAAATTTGCTGGAGATAGTCAATTCATGTATCCCGTTGCAATTTTATCGGAAAAAATATCGAAATTTGGAAAGAAACCAGTTTATTTATATATGTTTGGATATCGCGGTGAATCGAGTTACACGAATGTTGATTATGGTATCGATGAGAATGTAGGAGTACATCATGCAGATGACTTATTTTATCTTTTCTCAGGAGAACATTCAAAATCTATAACCGATAAAGATAAATACATAATTGATTTGATGGTGGATTTATGGACATCTTTCGCCATAAATGGGTAAAAAGAACAAAATTTTATTAACCTCCAGCGACAAAAAAAATTTTTTAATTATAAATATTGATTTCGAAAATTTTTTTTTTTACAAAATAAAAACTTACATTAAATAGTAAAAGTTGATTTGATTTTTACAATTTTGTAATAATTCTTTTGTTTTAGAATACCAACGTCGGGAAAATTAGCTGATTCTAATATGTGGAAGCCTTATTCTACGGCAAATAATTTTCTTCAGATTGGAAATGTTCTTAACAATACCGAACCATCTGTTACTCTACAGGATGATTATTATACTGATCGTATGAATCTTTGGAAGAACAATTTTCCCATTATAAAACTCTAATTTATTTTGTTTTTTACTTATGGGCTCATAATTTGCTTTTTTAAAAAAAATTTTATCTCTTTTAAAAAAAAAAAAAAAAAAAATTGTAAGCAAAAAATTATATTTTCCGTGTGATAAAAAATTTTTACTTTTAATTCGTTGATATGTTGGAATGGCGTAAACCATCTCCATTTATATACATTACAATTGTAAATTTCATTTAAGAAATCGTAGAAATTTATATATATTACAAAATATATAAAAGTATAACCGTTCCGGGATTTCGTGACAGAAGCACAACTATGTACGTATATAGATTTATATTCATGTCGAATGGAGCTTATTAAATTTATATTTTTAAGCTTCCGGGTAATCAGACAAGAAGTAGGTGCTACACATTTTATTCATAATGACTGCATATATATGTAATATTACGGGACTGATGTCAAAAGTAATTTAACTTACGTTAACCACAACTATTACACAAAAAACATATAGTCGCAGTCTAATCATTTTATTACGATTTATAATATACTTAACAACTCTTTAAAATATGAAAATACAACTCAAGATTACGTATATGATCTTTGCGACTGACAATGAGTCACATTTTACAGTTACAGTTTTAAAACGACATACCTTTGAAAAAAAGTATCTCGAAATTTATATTATTCATTTATCTCTTTAAACTGTTTTTTTTTTTTTTTTGCAAAAAAAAGTAATTTAAACTTTTTTTTACAAAAATTTATTGTAACAAATTTTCAAATTTATTTGCAAGTTTAATGAAATAATTTATGGTTATTATAGATACAGTAACTTTATGTTAGAACCAAGATAAACGATACGATATAAAAATAAAATTTTATTTGAACCAAATAAATCCCGATTATTATCCCGAATATTAATTCCTAAATGTCCGTTTATCCGTAGAATTCTTCCCAAATTAAAATTGAACTGAATGATTTTTTTCCGAAAAGGTCATTTTCTTGAATAGATCAATTTTCTAACTAATTTTAATTCCGAATAAATTATTTTCCCGAACAATTTTTAATAAATAAAAAATATATATGTCCCATTCCAGGAGTTTTTTGTAACTTTTCAGAGTAACCTTTCTAAATTAAATAAAACATTTTTTTTATTAATATAAAGGTAAAAAATAATCACTTTTAAAGTAAAAACAATTGTTTATTTAAAAAATACAACAATAAATAATGAAAAAAATTCACTTTTTTTCTGCTCCATCAAATAAATTGGTTTAGGGGAGAGTGGGGTAAAACGGCGCACATGTTGTAAATGATTAAATATTATAAAATTAATAATGTTATCAATGCCGAAAAAAGTAAAAATCATTAGTTCAACATTTCAACTAACTTCTTGTGCAGAGAAAATTAAAATTAAAACTAATTAAGAGGGTTAATTATTGGTTTTTTAAAAAAGTGCACCTGCACCAAGTTACCCTTCTCAAGCGGGTAATACGGCGCACTCTATGTCTGCTGTAGACGAAAAAATAAAACCTAATTACAATGTTTAAAAATTTACATATAATGTAAATATGTTTTTAATTCATAACTATACATTGAATATTATTCATAGATTATATATAATCTTAATTTGACTTTCAAAATCCATTATTTCTGACTCTTAAATAATTTTTGAATATCTGAAAAATGACACCATGATAGTTTTTATGTGATATTTTTTATTGATAATTAAAAATTTTAAGTATTTTTTTAAAATACATAATGTGGAATCGAACTCTGCTTATAAGTGTACTGACAAGAAGAATCACAGCATTAATTGCACAAATTAATACTTATATAAATAATTAAATAATTGCTTAAATACGAAGACCAGAGCATCTTTCCATATTTCTTTTTGGCAAAATTCGTTTCGTGTTTGCTGTCTTCTTATTAACTTCAGTTCCTTCCTTCTTTTTTAATTTTTCTGCTGCTTTTTTCTCTTTAATTTAATTAAACCCGCATCTATAATAATAGACAAATATAAATTTTATAGACTGTTTAGAAAAATATTGCTATTAAAAAGTGTTAGAAAAAATTTTGCAAGATCTGTCACAAATGCACCTAACCTCAAAAATGCCGAAAAGATTGTAAAAACAATTTATATCGTTCTAAAATGTTTTTTAAATATTTAAATGTTATTTTGCGAGTGTCTTTTAATATAAGTAGTAGTTTGTCTAGATCTGTAAGATTTTTAATGATGAGAAAAATATTTTTTATGACATATATTAAATATAATCTAAAAGACCGATAACAAGAATCTTCGATATGATTACCAATCAAAAATACAATTCAAATTACTAAAAACATCTGCTACTATAAGAATTTTATTATACATTGCATGTTATTAGTATAAAACAAATAACTCACCTTTCAAAACTGCAATTTTGCACAATTTCAACTTGACATATATTCTTAGCAACTATCTTCAGTAAAGTCACATCACTAACAGTGCGCCGAATTACCCGCCGATTAAAGCGCTGAACGCGCCGTTTTAACCGCAGGTGATAGTACAAAAAAAATCTTTTTTTAAATAAAATTCAATTGAAATTAACTATATAAATGAATTTATTCCATTCAGAAGATTCAAATTAACAAATTCTAAAAAAAATAAGTTGAAAGAAAAAAAAACCTGCAATTTTACACAATTTTTCCTACAGCCTTCATAATAAACGTAAACCATCAAAAAGTAACTTTTTTATAATAAATATTAAATAATTAATAAAATTAGAAAAATTTTAGCTGTTACTTTCATGGAATACATAAATATTTAAAATAAAAGTATTCTTCTTTCTCTAAAATGGCTTAATTTTTATAAATACAAGTGCGCCGATTTACCCGCTGCGCCGTTTTACCCCACTCTCCCCTAAAGATCAAAATTTTCCTTATTTTTCAAACTTTAATGCCGCACAAGAAAAATAATGTATTTCAAAATAGTTAACTCACAATTTATTAAACAATTTTTGTTTACTTTTTTGTATTTTATTTACTGTGAAACGTCTGCTATTGCTGCGCGCGACGTTCGGAAGTTATCGCTCTCGTTATTGAGCAGAAGCTCATTACACTAGCGTAGTAAAAAACATGTTGTGTGAAAAGTGAGGTTTTTCAACCTTCAAAAATGTTTTTTATGATTTTTTACTGCAAAGTAGGTAATTAAAAACAATAAAATGTGATATCCAGAAATGTTTACGTTTCGTTCAATGACAACATAACCTCACTTTTCATACAACCTGTTTTTTACAACGCTAGTGTAATGAGCTTCTGCTCAATCAACAACTTCCGAACGTCGCGCGCAGCGTTAGCAAACGTTTCACAGCAAATAAAAATACAAAAAAGAAAACAAACATTGTTTAATAAATTGTGAATTAACTATTTTGAATCACCTCATTTTTCTTGTGCGGTATGAAAGCTTGGAAAATAAGGAAAATTTTGATCTTTAAACCAATTTATTTGGTGGTGCAGAAAAAAAGTGAATTTTTTTCATTATTTATTGTTGTATTTTTTAAATAAACAATTGTTTTTACTTAAAAAGTGATTATTTTGGACCTTTATATTAATAAATATTATTTACTATATAAATACAATATAATTATTTGATAAATAATCAAAAAGTATCGTATTAAATGAGAGCAAAAAATTCAATAAAAATAAGTTTAGTGTTATTATAGCAACAAAAGAAATAGTAAAAAATTGATTTTTTAAAAGGCGAGTTATTTATTTGGCTATTAATTTTTCGAAAAAAAAATTCGTGAAAATTAACATTCGGGAACTTACAAAAAAAATCTAGATATATTATAGTTATACTTGCAAATTAGATAATACAATTCAAATTTTTTCTAGGACATATTGTGCAAGGAACCATGTCATTTTAAATACCGGGCTTTGTCTCAAGAATTTTTGGCGAATTAATCTATAACGGAAATTCGTTGTTAACAATTCGTACAAAGGATATAATTTTATGTTCCACTTAGAAATTTCTAAAATGGCTACATCCGGAATCATTCAACCATTTAATTTCTCTTTAAGAAGATTTTTGGGAGTTTTTTTAACTGTACTCAAAAAGAAATAGGGTAAGTGTATGAATTACTGCTGATGCGCCAATTACTGCGAATTTAAAAAATTAGTAAAACTTAGTAATTAAGAACATAAAACTGTTTCAAAATGACTTTAAAACTTATTCCAAATGATATTTGATATTATATCCACTAATGATGCATATTTCGACTATTATCAAATTATTTATTTAAGTTACAATCTAATTTATATAAAAATAATTTTACCATTCCATGAGTTTTTTATCACATTTCGGAGTAAACTTTCCAAATTAAATGAAACATTTTTTTTATAATATTTATTAACATAAAGGACCAAAATAATCACTTTTTAAGTAAAAACAGTTGTTTATTTAAAAAATACAACAATAAATAATGAAAAAAATTAACTTTTTTTCTGCATCACCAAATAAATTGGTTTAAAGATAAAAATTTTCCTTATTTTTCAAGCTTTAATACCACACAAGAAAAATTTCATGATTCGAAATAGTTAACGCACAATTTATTAAACAATGTTTGTTTACTTTTTGTATTTTATTTACTGTTAAACCGTCTGCTAACGCTGCGCGCGACGTTCGGAAGATGTCGCTCTCGTTATTGAGCAGAAGCTCATTACACTAGCGTAGTAAAAAACATGCTGTGTGAAAAGTGAGGTTATGTCGTCATTGAACGAAACGTAAACATTTCTGGTTTTTAATTATCTACTTTGCAGTAAAAAATCATAAAAAACATTTTTGATGGATGAAAAACCTCACTTTTCACACAACATGTTTTTTACTACGCTAGTGTAATGAGCTTCTACTCAATAACGAGAGCAACAACTTCCGAACGTCGCGCGCAGCTTCAGCAGACGTTTCACAGTAAATAAAATACAAAAAAGTAAACAAACATTGTTTAATAAATTGTGAGTTAACTATTTTGAAATACATTATTTTTCTTGTGCGGCATTAAAGTTTGAAAAATAAGGAAAATTTTTATCTTTAAACCAATTTATTTGATGGTGCAGAAAATAAAGTGAATTTTTTTTATTTTTTATTGTTGTATTTTTTAAATAAACAATTTTTTTTTAATTAAAAAGTGATTATTTTGGACCTTTATATTAGTAAATATAAAAAAAATGTTTCACTTTATTTTCGAAAGCTTACTCCGAAAAGTGATAAAAAAAACTCATGGAATGTCACAATTATTTTTATATAAATATTAATTTAAAAAAAAAATTTTTTTTGTAAATTTTTGCTAACTTTTTTGAAAAATATAATAAATAGTACATACAAAACGTGGTTTGTTTGTAAACGATTGAATAAATATTTATCTAGAATATCCTGAAAAATTATTTCATACTTATAATAATACTAGATGGAAAAATGGACATGCTTTTAAAAAATATATCACTAACCTTAGTCGCTTATAGTCAGCGCAGCAACTTCGATGTGTCGATATATATTTTGGATGACAAGATGTATTGGAAACACACGCGATTAAAAAAATTTTGTTAACACTCCCGAAAGCGCATATGTTTAAATTAAAAACAATTTTAGAAAAATTTACTTTTTTTAAAAAATTTAAACGATCGCAATTTTAAGAATTTCGAACACTCACGGAACAAAAAAATTTACTAAAATAAAAAAAAAAGGAACACGCACTAAATTTTATTCATTTCAAAAATAAAAATGTCGAATAATTTAGACGATAAACAATGCAGGTCAATACACAAATTGCAACTGATTGAAAATTATTGCAACTGATTGAAAATTATCGTCACGGAATTTTAATTTACAGTATTATGATTTTATGGCTTTAAGGTACCCTTTGTAAGATAAACATACAGCTCGGTATACAGGTATAAAAGTGAATAATATTCCAAAATCGCATCGATACATTTAAAATACTTTCAAATATTATAATATTAAATTAAAATATTAATATATATAAATTATTTGAGGTTTTTAACTTGTAAAAGATTTTATTTTTACATTTTACTGACAATGAGTAAAACATTCTCTACAATCGTAAACTTTTTTAGTTATTAAAAAATTATTTAATAAATATAATTTGTATTGTTTAACATGCTTTAACAATTGAAAAAAGTTTGTGACTGTATAGAGAATGATTGACGGAATAAAATAAACTACTATTTATAAAAATTGGAATTTTTATTAAAAATTATTTAAAAAAAGATTTTAACTCAACATAATTTTTTCTGAAAAGTGTATAAGTAATCTTTTACAATTTTTTTAAGTTTAATAAACAATTGAGTATTTAAAATATACAATAATAGACAACTACACGTAATGAAATGCCTTAAAGTTGAAAATTTTCCAGCTTTCATATCCAAAAAGAAAATTTGGGTACTTTGTGTTAATTTGATCAAAATTTTACAAATTGTGTCATTTTTTTTGTTTTATTTTTATCAGCTGTTAGGGGTAAGTGGTACAGTTGTTGCCCCCCTCACAGTGATTGCCACCATTACATTACAAACAGAAATAATAACGAAATTTACATATAATATTTTGTTTTATTTATTTATATAAATTCTACAGAATATTCTGCTAATAGTGTAAAAAGATTTTTATTCTTCGACTCACTATTATGAAAATAATAGCGCTTTTCGAGAACAGTGTCCTTAGCTCTTTGAAATTTTGTCAATTTAGTTGTAAATTTGCAAGGTTAGTGGTGATACTTTCTTTGACTTTTTAACGAAAAAATTATACATATCATTATTATTTTTTAATTATATGCATGAAAATAAGTTTAATAATAAGTAAAAAAATTTGTTTTAACGTAATTTGACTCGATTTACCGAAAATTATAGAGAACAACTACTATCTTGCAATTAATAACAAATAACAGTCATTGCCCTCCCCGAGCAATGTTTAATTTTTGGTTATTATGTCATTTTTCAGTGATTAACCGTTTATTTTCAAGACTTTTTTGAGATAAATATTTTTAATTTTTGGACGTTTTTTCATATGTGGTGAATTAATTTTTTAAAATAAAGATGTAATTAGAGCCGCAGCATGTATTAGAATGATTTGTAATATTTTATTAACAATTTTTTAATATGAAGTTGATTTTAGGCTATCGAAAAAATGCCGAAGGTAAAAAAAGGTGTTTCGTATATAAAAACCCACTGTTTTAAGCAATGAAAAACTTCAAAATCATGTAATCATTATATCAAATCAAAATAGCCAAAAATAATTTTTATTTTTACAATTGAGTCAGATTCGACAATTTTTTCAATTTTTTAGGTTAATAGTATTATTTACACTTAAAAGTCATATTTAATGAATCTTATTATTTTTAATAAAAGAAAATTATTTTAAAAATTAGTTCTTCTTTATTAATTTTAAATTATATTCATTCTTTAATAAATTATGCAAAATTTATAATTTACATTACTATTTTATGTCTAGTGGGCAATCATTGTAAAATTGATGGTCAATCACTGTAAAAATAATGACAATCACTATTTTTTCTGTCATGTGAAGATTTTTTTATTTTTTTTAAATTTATATACTAATATTAAATAAACAATTCATTATTATTTTCAGATTAATGGAATATTTTAATTCCTTTACAAATGGTTTCATTTCTCATTTCGATAATTAAACATTTGTAATTTGTATAAATATATCCCCTTTTTGCTTATACTGGCAATCACTGTACCGTTTACCCCTATCTTGCCCCTATCGTTGCGCGCAACGTTTATTGTTTTCCAGTCAATGATACCAACATGATGTGTGTGAACTAAATATGGTAAATATAACCTCACTTTTCAAAATTATGTTGGTATCACTGACTGGAAAATAAGAAACGTCGCGCGCAACTATAACAGCTGATTAAAATAAACCAAAAAAATGAAAAACAATTTGTATAATTTTGGTCAAATTAACAAATAGTACCCAAATATTATCTCTTGAATTTGAAAGCTGGGAAAAATAAAGAAAATTTTAAACTTTAAGATATTTATGTATAATAATTTAAAACAAGTTGTAAATTGAGATGTTCATTACATGAACATTTTGCTTCCTCTTTACGAGCAGCAAAAAAATTTGCTTCCTCGTGGAGAAAGCAAAAATTTTATTGCCAAAATGTGAATTTTTGATTTTTTAACTTTCATTAATTCTTTAAATTTAAATTGAAACTATACTTTATATATACCAATCGATTTGTCTTGACGTAAGGAATACGATTTTATTATATATAACCTTAAATTTTTCTATTTAAAAATTTTTTCGATTAAAAAAAAAATTTTGGAAAAAAGACGATAAAATTTTTTTTTTGGGTATTTTTCAAAATCCTTTGGTCAGATTTGAGATATTAATATGATAAATAAGCCTACCAAATTTTATCTAAATCCATTAAAACCTGTTAAAGTTATCTTATAAACAAAAAGGGATCCACACACACACACACATACATATAGTAGGAGATCCCACTGCAAGATTTCTATACTCATCTCTTTCATGGATGAAATTGATTTGAAATGAAAGATTTTTTTATCCTGTTTCCGAAACGCATAGGGTGCCTAACCTTTTATGGTCCATTTTTTTGATACAATAAAAATTTCTGTGAAAATTTGTTGAAATGTTTCACTCATAAGTTTTATGGATGAAACTTGTATTAATGGAAAGAACATGAAAAAAATAAGAAATAAATGATAGGTTGCCTCATTTCCAATGGTCTCGTTTCCTGGCAGCCACTTGAAAATTTCCCACTTTCTGTTGAAATATTTCATTCATAACTTTTATGAAAAAATTTACCACCAATGTAAAGATTGATCATTTTTCTACACGATAAGAGTAGGTTGCCTAAAAGAATATGGTCCAGAAAATTAGTTGCCACATATTAAAATTGAAAAATTTATTCGAAAGTTGAGAAGAAATTGCGCAAAATATATACGTAAAACAGGTGACAAAAGACGAACGTATCATAAATTGTTGATACGTAGAGGTTATTTGATATTAAAAATTTGTCAGAAGATAATGAATAATGCAAAATGAACGTATATAATACTCAAATAAAAAATAAATTGTTTTTCAATAATAAAAAAAGCAAAACTGTTTATAATTAAAGAATCATATTAAATTGCGATAATAAAATCCATATATTGTCGTTTGTAATTATTTTAAAAAGTCTTGCATATTACTAAATGCAAAGACATATTAAATTTATAATTATTAAATTTTATTTAAAAGTGGTAATTGCTGATTAATATTTTCGGTAATCATTTCATGAATTGTCAACGAATTATTTTATTATTTATATACGTCAAAGAAACAAAACAACAGCGTTCGTGTCATCTAGTTGCGCGGTTTTTCTCACCTTTCAAATAAATTTTTTAATTTTTAATATGTGGCAACTAATTTTCTGGACCATATTCTTTTAGGCAACCTACTCTTATCGTGTAGAAAAATGATCAATCTTTACATTGGTGGTGGATTTTTTTATAAAAGTTATAAATGAAATATTTCAACAGAAAGTGGGAAATTTTTAAGTGGCTGCCAGGAAACGAGACCATTGGAAATGAGGCAACCTATCATTTATTTCTTATTTTTTTCATGTTCTTTCCATTAATACAAGTTTCATCCATAAAACTTATGAGTGAAACATTTCAACAAATTTTCACAGAAATTTTTATTGTATCAAAAAAATGGACCATAAAAGGTTAGGCACCCTATGCGTTTCGGAAACAGGATAAAAAAATCTTTCATTTCAAATCAATTTCATCCATAAAAGAGATGAGTGTAGAAATCTTGCAGTGGGATCTTAGACTAATACATACATCCGAACAATTGATCAGGATCTCATATAACATGTTTCTATAAAGAAAAAAATTTGTTTCTGCTACTTTGAAAAGTTTTATAAACGAAAGGACTACAAAGCTTCCTCCACGAGGAAGCAAAAATAACAAATTAACATTGCGCTTGAACTTCGTTTATTTACACGTAAATATATTATATCACTGATGATCGCTACATACCCTCGACATGTACAAGTAATACAATTACAATCTTGCTCTTCACATATTATTATTATTATTATTAATATTATTAATTGAAATTTTTATCAAAGTCCTTTATGCTATTTTTTTTCGTAAGAATGTAACAATTTTTAAAGAAACTTGTGTGACATTGTTATATATATATGTATAAGCTATACATATATAAATCACTGATGCATAGAATCAACGAATCGGTTCGAGTTTTCTTTTTCTTTTTTTTCCATTTTCTTTTTTTTAGCAAATACAGCTATATAATTTAAAAATTACAAGGCGAGAATATTCCTTGCTAATACTGCTTTAATGCTTCTTTTTTCCACTTAAAGAAGAATCATTTTGCTTTATCTCTTTCTCTCTCTCTCTCTCTTTCTTTCTTTCTTTCTATACAAACGCAACATTCGAAATTTATAAATTGCAGACTTAGCTTATCACAGACCTTCTTGAAGGTTTTTTTTTTAATTCGATATTACATGTTTAAAAAATAAAAACGACACAATAGATTTTCGAAAAAAATTTTCATTTATCAGAATCAGTGTTCAAAATATTTATTAAACACACACGTCGATTTTTTTTTTCGTTGCGAATGTGTTTAATAATAATAATAATTAATGGCTTACATTATTTATCAAAAAGAAAAGCGAAAAGAAATTAAAATGTAAAAAATAAGAAGAGATCAGTCTTTATTAATCACCCGAATGAATTTACAAAAATGGAACTGAAGATTCTTTACATCTCAAGAATCTTTCTTTCTTTTTTGTTTTTTTTGACAAGAAAAGCGTGTGAGGCAAGAAATTCTTTTTCTAAAGACGCCAATAATAATTTCAACATTTTCTTATTAATTATTAATTTCAAATTTCAAATTTCAAATTATATTTATTACTCTGAATTATATTTGTAATTACTTTGAATTTAAAATTACTCTCAATTACATTTAAAATTACTTTGAATTATTTCAAAAAAGATGTTTTAAAATTATTATTTCAAGTCACATTTAAAATTATGACAAATTACAATTAAAACTTATGTTTAACATTATTTAAAAAATTACCCAAATTTTTTCCTCTCCGTTTTTTTTTTAAATCAATAAAAAAAATTTGATCGTTAGTTATTATTATATAAATAGATTAATTGTCATAATTTATCGATAGTGTCATTTCATATTAATTACCCGCCTTGGACAATAATTTTAAATCTATTATACTCAAACTCGAAACGTCGACACAATACATTATAATATTATTATTGTATTTTAAAGACACTTTAACATCTTAATTTTATTGTTTTATAATTCAAACAACCATTAGGTTCTGATTGTTTTTATTTTATTTTATTTTTTTTAGTTTTGGCTCGGAACGCAGTTCAACATCTCTTTAAAAAAAAAAACAATTATTACCAATTATTATTTGCAAATTTTTTTTTCAAAAATATTTAAAATTGGGCAAAAAGTCGTAAGGATAAAAAACAAAAGTGGTTCGTTCATTTTTTTTTATATATATATAATATAATATATATAAAGTCACAAAAAATAACCAACACGGTTATTTTTAAGTTGATCGTTATCAGTTCACTCTTTGGCTCTACTTTTTTTTCACATCTTCTCTTCGTCTTCTCTAAATTTCAAATTAACAAAAAACAATTTTCGTGGCAACCTGTTTAGATAGTAAAAAATCAGAGATAGTTTTGTCAGTAAACAGCCAAAAGTTTGTTATATAATGTTACTTTGAAAAAAAAGTCACATTACAAAATAATAGAAACAAAAAAAAAACTTATTACATATTTAATTGCATTGGCAATCACTGACACTGGGCTTAACTTTGGTTGATTCGACTCCCTTGATAAAGAGATTTTTTTTTTACATTTTAATTACATGATCATTATTTAAAGAAATTTCACCTGTGACAGTCTGGAATTTTTTGTATTTTTTTGTTACAATTTTTTTTTTTGAAAATTTTCCTCGATAAAATAAAAGTACAAAAATTGTTTAAAACAATGTTTAAAAGTTTAGTATGAATTTTTTTCGTTTTCAAAAAAAAAAAAAAATTCTTAGATACCGATTTTTTTATTTTTAAATTTAATTTTCAAAAATTTTCAATCTTTACTGCAATTTTTTTTTCTCTGTCACAAGAAAAATGCTTTAAAATAAAAAAAATCATTGCTTCAAATGAGAAAAAAGTACTTTCAACTATTTAGAACGTAAAACAATAGATTGAATAAAAAATAAAATGAAAATATCAACATAGAAATGAGGTACAAGAGAAAAGGAAATAAATTATGAATACCTCATAACTGCGTTTTGAAATTTTCATTAATTATTAATTAGAAAAAAAAAATAATCATATTTTCACAACTAACTTTACGGGCCTGCCAGAAAGTTATTTTTCTTTTTTTTTTTTTCTTCACGAGGGCGAATCACTCAAAACGAAGTCACTCATTAGCGTAATTATAAGAATGTACAAATATATGATAGGAACAGAATTTTTCACAGCAAAAAATTGACGACATTGGAACGTGATCTCTCGCGTTGAGATCAAGTTACATTTATAATTCTTACATTTAATTGGATATCTTCCTCGCTTTCTTTTTCTTCTTTTTTTTTCTTTTTTTTTCTTTTTTTTTCTTTTTTTTTAAATTGTATTTCTTACAACACCGCCAAAACAATAAACTCAATCTATTTCATTATTATTATTATTATTATTTTTATTATAATAGACAATGAAACGACGACGATCTCTTAAAAAATAACAACTTACGAAACGTAATTGAAATAAAACAGAAAAATAATAAAGAGAGGTTCATCACTGCACTGAACTGTTAAAATATCGACTAATAATATGGCATCCTAGAATCGAGAAGCGTTCATTTTTCGTGTCGTTCATAGAAAATGATTGCTATTTACAGTGCGGCCTGTATGATTTACATTCGCTCAATTTCTTTTCTATGATTTTTTTTTTTTTATTTTCTTTTATTTTCTTCTTTTTTTTTTTATGCAAAAGCATTATAATTTGGCAACTGCGGTGCCAATAAATTTACACTTTTGCTATCTACTTCTCGATAAAATAATGAAATAGTTTTTTTTTTTTTTTTTTTTCTTTCTTTATACAAAGATTTAACGTAAGAGACGACGGTCAGTCGATTGCGTGACTTACGTGAAACCTTTCTCTGTTCTTTATAATAAAATTTTTAATTCTAATTACAATTATTATCATTAATAGTCCGCATAACTTTAGTATATTACGTATATATATAAATATATTTATATATATGCATCAATTTTTTTTTTTTAAGCCATTACCAATGGTTCATCATCAGAAAATCCTCTAATCACTGGACTGTCTTCTTCTTCTAAAACATAATTTAACACTCTAATCAGTCTTTAAATCAATTATAATTATAATTATAATATAAGACATTTTTTATGAAATTCATATTTTAATTTTAACATAATTAATTTCAATCTAAACCTGTAATAATTAACAAAAGAAAAATATATATTTCATCAAATTAATCTAATCAAATCTCAACACAATCTAAATTCGAAAAAAAAATTTAATAGCACATCTAAATTTTTCTATTGTAAAATTCCATAAGTTTTCCATGATTTTCAAGTCCTAAGTTATACAATTTTTATGACATGTATGCAAAGATTACAGTACCTTTTTCTTAAAAATAGATAAAAGAATGAATTATTATTTACCGAAAATAGTTAACAAAAAAAATATGACAAAAAAAACAGATAGTTTCTATTCAAATTTTGATGAATTGAAATTATTTCTCAAATGATTGAAACAATAATATTGTTTAAAATTTAGGTAAGGGTCAAACCATTATATTTCAACTGAAGTGGTCGCTGACTAATTTTTAAAAATTATAATACTTTGCAGGAATGATTTTGAAGTTATCAAGATCACGAAATGAAAAGAATTTTATTAAAAATTTAAATATTTATTGTAAAATATGAATTTAAAGTATATGAGGTGCTAAAAACTGTCAATTTTTTAGCCATTAGAAAATATGCAAAAAAACATAGAATTTACCATAAAAATAAAAAAAAATTATTGGAATTTACTAAGAATGAATAAATTTATCATTATCAATTGATATAATTATTTAAAGATGTGAAGTAATATATAGAATATGATTTCCAAGTGCACCTGTCAAATAACCTAATTTTGCGATTTTTATTCATTAATTATAAAAAATAGAAAACATTAAATTAAATAAAAACTTACCAAATATGAAGTTCTTGCCATAAACTTTTAGAATTTCTTTGCACTTTTCTTCTTTTCTATTCATAAGTATGAAAAATTTAAAAAATAAAATAGCTACTTTGTCTATTTTCACTATTTTTGAAAGTCAATAACTTTCTTGGAGAAAAATGAAAAAATATGGGGTTTCGAAAATTATTTAAATACACACTACATATACATTCACTGAAAATTTCGCATTGGTCCCGAAGCTATTTTCGAAGATAAAGTAAATTAAAAATTTCGTATTTTTTAGGCTATATTGACATGGGTTTTAAAGGTATTAAATCAATGTGAAGTTTGTCGTCACCAGTGAACCACCTTCACATTGATTTAAAATCCATGTCCATATAGCCTAAAAAATACGAAATTTTTAATTTACTTTATCTTCGAAAATAGCTTCGGGACCAATGCGAAATTTTCAGTGAATGTATATGTAGTGTGTATTTAAATAATTTTCGAAACCCCATATTTTTTCATTTTTCTCCAAGAAAGTTATTGACTTTCAAAAATAGTGAAAATAGACAAAGTAGCTATTTTATTTTTTAAATTTTTCATACTTATGAATAGAAAAGAAGAAAAGTGCAAAGAAATTCTAAAAGTTTATGGCAAGAACTTCATATTTGGTAAGTTTTTATTTAATTTAATGTTTTCTATTTTTTATAATTAATGAATAAAAATCGCAAAATTAGGTTATTTGACAGGTGCACTTGGAAATCATATTTTATATATTACTTCACATCTTTAAATAATTATATCAATTGATAATGATAAATTTATTCATTCTTAGTAAATTACAACAATTTTTTTTTATTTTTATGGTAAATTCTGTTTTTTTTTTGCATATTTTCTAATGGCTAAAAAATTGACAGTTTTCAGCACCTCATAAACTTTAAATTCATATTTTGCAATAAATAATTAAAATTTTAATAAAATTCTTTTCATTTCGTGATCTTGATAACTTCAAAATCATTCCTGCAAAGTATTATAATTTTTAAAAATTAGTCAGCGACCACTTTAGTTGAAATATAATGGTTTGACCCGTAAATATAAAATTGTAAATAAATTGAAACTTAAATCAATCAAAATTTGGATAAATTTAAATTCGAGTAATTTTAAACTTAAATCAATCGAATTTTAAATAAATTGAAGTTTAGATAATTTGAAACTTAAATCAATAAAAAATTTAAATAAATTTAAATTCGGATAAATATAAATTTAAATCAATGAAACTTTGAATAAATTGAAATTCTTGTAATTTTAAACTTAAAATCAATTAAAATTTGAAAAAATTTAAATTTAGTCAATTTGAAACTTAAATAATATTAAAATTTAGATAATTTCATACTTAAATAAATCAATGATTAAAGCATTAATAGTTTAAAATTTGGGTAATTCGGGTAATTTTAAACTTAAGTCAATTAAAATTTTAAAAAAATACGAAGCTGAAGTACACAACGTTTATATAAACGATTTTTAAAGAAATATTTTTTAAAAATGAAAAATTCTATAATTTTTTGCCTAAAAAATATTTTTTTATAATTTGTTGATTAACGAAAACTACAAGAAATATTTTTTAGGCAAAAAATTATAGAATTTTTCATTTTAAAAAATTATTTCTTTAAAAATCGTTCATATAAACGTTACGTGCTTCAATTTCGTAAAAAAATTGAAATTCGGATAATTTGAAAAAATTGAAATTCAAATAATTTGAAACTTAATTTAATTAATCTTTAGATAGATCGAAATTAATTAAAAAAATTTGTTAAATTAAAAAATTTATTGAAAAATTCACTCTATAATAATTCGACTAAATAAAAGTTCTGTTAAATATAAATTTTATTAAATGAAAATTCATGAATCTGCTATAAAAAATTCTGTTAAATCTAAATTTTGTTAATTTAAACTTCGATTTTTTATTTCTCCAAATTCGGCTCTTCTCCTAATTTACATTTAATTTTTGTTTAATATCAACATTAAAATTAATCAAATTAAACTTTATTCTAGATATTAAACAAAAATTGTATGTTAATTTGGTTAAAATTTGTATTTTTTTCAAAGTTTTTAATATTATTAATTTTATAATTATTAATGTAACCATTTAATTTTTAAACCATTAAAGATACCATTTTAAAATTTGGTATTCAAAATCTACAAAATTTAAGCTATCGTTTAAAATATTTTAAAATAATTTAAAAATGGTCGAAATATAAGAAAAATTTATTGAAAATTTGTTTTTCAATTTTTGAAATTAAAATTAATCTAATCCTCAAAATTAATGCCATGTTAGACGATATTTACAAAATTCACATCTATGTTTCTTCGTTTAATGGATTTTTAATAAAATTGTAATATTTAAAAAAAATTTTTGAGCCGAATTTTTATTTGTTCGAATTAGGTATTTTGCAGAATTTTCATCAAAACGATTTTCTATATTACAGAATTTTTATAAAACCAAAAATTCACTTCACAGAATATTTATTTGTTCGAATTTTTATTTGCTCAATTTTTCATTTAACAAAATAGGCATTTTAAAGAATTTTTATTGGGTAGAATTTCATTGCATAGAATTTTCTTTTAGATGAATTTTCATTTGTTCGAATTATTATTTGATATAATTTCCATATAACCAATTTTTCATACTACAAAATTTTTACCTAATCGAAAAATCATTTAACAGAATTTCTAATTGATAGAATTTTCATTTGTCCGAAATAGCAAATGGTCGAACAAACAATCGACAGAATGATTTTGACGCGATTTTTAAAATCAATCAATCAAAAATTATGCATAAAATTTTGATTGGTTGATTTTAAAAATCACGCCGAAATCTTTCTGTCGATATCAACCCTGCTATTGACGAGTTTCAAACGAATCCGATGAATTTTTAAATTTTTAAACTAGGAAAATGTAAGTGGCTGATATTAAGTGGGCACACTTTCATAAAAAAAAAATTAAATTTTTGGAAAAATTTAAAAAGCCCAAAATTATGGTGTAGTCGCTTTTTTAAATTTCGATTCAGTGAATGGTGATGATGCACGTGAGAGTTATAATAAACTTAAAATAAAAAAAAAATGAAAAGAAAACATTAACAAATAAATAACTTACCTAGGCCATCAGTAGTGCCGGGGAAAGTGGCTTGTCCTCTCCTCGTATCATAATGGCTGTTCGCAAATTGTGTAAAACTATTCGACAGTCTTCTGTGTCTAACAACAAAATAACCCAGAGCTGCTCCTAAGGCTACGATGAGCAAACATAATGGAATGGCAAGAGATAGAATGTTTGATGTATTCATCGATGTAACTCGTAAATCAGCTGCAAAAAAGAAAATATTCATGAAAATAAAATTTTTTCTCATTTTTTAAAAATAATTTTTCAAATAAAAAATATATTTAAATTTTAATACTAACCATTTGGATTTACGATACTGACAATTTCACTCAACTCGCTGTGATAGCCCTCTTCACTAACTAAACGTACGGCAATTGAATGCATTGCATCAATATTTTCCGGTATAAATTCAAAAGGCGATTGTTTACTATTATAAATTTTAGCATTTGATTCATTGACAATACTTGAGCCTTCGGATATTAGAACATCAAAATGATATTTAGTATTCTTCCAACTATCAGACATATTTCTTTGTTCCCATTTCACAATATATTTCTCTTCATTTTGATGCTTTTCAACTATCACTTGATGCGGAGGTATAATGGGAGGAGCAATGTAAATCATTGTCTCTGTTGGAATAGCACCATCAACATCTGTTGAGACTGATATTTCATATTTGCCGCCCAATTTTATATTTTTCAATAAATGTTTCATGGATGTGTCATTTGTTGGACTCAATGTTATTGTTGAATGTTTCTTTAGCACCAATTCAGTGACAAAGATCTGCAAAAATTAATAAAACATTTCTAGTTATAATTTAAAATTACATTGAGATACAAGTGTTTCAAATCTAAAGTTTCCAAATTTAAAAGATTCAAAATTTATTATTCCAAAATTCAAAATACCCAAAAATATTACATTTCCAAAGTAAAAATTTTAAACTGTTAAAAAATTAGTTCTGTCATATTTATTATATTTTATGTATTCTTCTGCCATCTGACGGCGGCAGGACGTAATAAACCTGTCATTGAGTAATAATTCAAGAAAAAAGTATTTTAAAATCAATGTTTATCATTTTTACATTTAGTGCCATTTTTACAGGGCGATAATTAAATGGCAAAGAATATTTTTAAAATATTAAATAAAAAATTTAAACTTACAGTATAATTAATTGGTGTGTCAATTGTTTCACAACTTGCCCTCCAAGTTACAAAGATAGTGTCAATTTTATCAGAAGGAGTAACTCTCAATTGTTTGGGACGAGCTTTTGGACTGAAATGTGTTTCAATTTTATAGGGTTCACTTAATGGTCCAGCGCCAAAAACAGAATCTCTAATACCAACGGAAAACATGTATTTGCTACATGCTTCCAAATCACGAACTGTTGCACCAACATGGCTCGTTATAATCTTAGCTTCTGTAATTGAATACAATACAATTTAATATATTAAAAATTCAATAAAATGTTTTATGTATCAAAATGTAAAATTAATTAAAGAAGAATTACCTTTATAAAGATCTTGCATGGTGATAGCGTAATGAACAGCATATTGCCATTTGATTTTTCGTGAATCTTTAGGTGGTTCCCAACTCAATTTAACTGTTGTTCCTTGTGCTTTAATTAATTCTCCCTGTACTTTAGAAACTGTAGGCAAAGCAACGCCACTTGTAGCACCCGAAACTGAAGCAGGTTTACCAAAATAATCCTTTCTCTTGGCAGTAACTTCAAATGTATATGAAACACCAGGCGCTAATCCAGTCACCGTATAAGTATCAACATTGCTATCGACAATACTGAAATTTAAATTTGGATAGTGTGACGGTGATTTTGGCATAATAGTATAACCATCAATATCAGGGACCTTTTGCCATTTCAATGTTACTGAATTATTTGTCGTTTTTTCCGTTATCACTGTTAAATCCTTAATATCATCAATATTTGATGCACCATCAAATGTCAATGTCACAACATTTGATGTATTCGATTGATATTTTTTATTTTTCGCTATTACCCAAAATGAATAATTTTTACCCGCCTCAAATGCCAATTCAATTGACACCGCTGTTTTTTGTAGGGAATATTTCATTGGCGGTATTGGCGGTGTTATAAAACCTTCATAGCCAATTATAACACCATTTGGATTAGCTGGTGGTCGCCATGATATTTCCACACGAGTACCATTCTTCTGACTCACAACAACGCCCCAAGGTTCCGATGGAACTCCCTCCTTTGTCATTGCAATCAAATAACTACCAGGTGGAAATACAATTTTTGAGCCCTTCAATCTCACAAAAACAGTTATATTATAACGTGTATAAGGACTTAAACCAGTGAATTGATGATTATAGCCCTGCATCCAACTTGTTGCATTAATCCATTTTGCATTTGGTTCAGCTGGCGATATTGATGGTAAAAATTCAAGTACCGTATTATTTGGCACCGATATCCACCAATGAAGATGTATACTATTTGCCTCGGTTGCTCTCTCATCAATTTTCATTACCAAAACTTGATAAACACGTGTATTTTGTTCACAATTCATTTCATCAGAACCATCAAAACAATCGGGTTTACCATCACATTTATTTGCAAGCGGTAAACAAAGTGTTCCATCGCAAAGAAATCTACCCTGTACACATGGTGACATTGTTGGTAACAATGGATTATCATCGCCATGACAACCATTCTCATCGCTACCATCTGGACATTCCTCCAATCCATTACAAACATTATCTGCCGATATACAATTACCATCGGAACGACACATAAATTGATCATCACGACAACTCATATGTTGACCCTCACAATTTAATTCATCTTCATTTGATGCACAATCAGGTGAACCATCACAAACCCACGCCTGTTCAATGCAAGCGCCATCGTAACATTGAAATTGATGCGGTTGACAAACACGTGGCTCTATCGTATAATTAGGACGTTCAGTGATCACATCCGTATTACCACAGCCAAGCTCATCCGAATTATCACCACAATCATCAACACTATCACATTTCCACCAATATGGTACACATTTTTTATTATGACATCTAAACATCCAATCGTTACATGAATTTGTCGGCAAACTCGGTGGAAATAGCGTCGGCGATGTTGTCATCGTACAATTTTGCTCATCAAGTCCATTGGCACAATCCTTATCGCCATCGCATACCCACGAACGATAAATACATCTGTGCTGTTGATTTTGATCCTGACAATCAAATTGCCAATTTTCACATTTCATACTTTGACAATCGGCTTCATCTGTTCCATCCTCGCAATCTTTTTCACCATCACATTTCCATGTTCTTGGTATACACATATGTTCCTTTGCGCACTGTATCTCATCTGATTTACATGTACTTGGTTGCAATGGTTTTGTACAATTTCTCTCATCAGAACCATCACGACAATCATCCTCACTGTCACAAAGCCAACGATGTGAAATACATCTTCCATTATCGCATTTAAATTGTGAATCAGTACAATTTGAATATGTGCAATTCATCTCATCTTTTCCATCCATACAATCTTTATCTAAATCACAAACCCAATAATTTGGAATACATTTATTATTATCGCATTCAAATGAACTTGGATTACACGTTGAACGACTGCACATTGTCTCATCGGAATTATCACCGCAATCATTGTCGCCATCACATTTCCAAAATTCCGGTATACAAGCACCATTATTGCATTCAAATTGATTGCCCGAGCATGTATTGGCAACTTTTGGACATGTTGAATTTTCAAATGGCGTTATACCATTGGGACACATGCATTTTCCATTTGTCATTACCATACCATCGGGACAAAGACAAACAAAACCTTGAGCATCGGGTGCACCTAAACAAATATGTGAACATGTACTATTGACACATTTATTTGTACCCGTTTGTACACTGTGGGCAAAAACTTTTAAATCCATTAATCCAGTTAGTTGGCCAATTATTGTTGTTATTTTACGTCCATGATCCTTGTCGGCTGTAAATATCATTGATTGTTTCCAATCGTCCCAATACATATTGTCCTTTAATACTGCCACAGCAAATGGATGTGAAACACGTTCATCTTGAGAGATGATTTTTTTAAAATTCTTCCCATCAAAATCAGATGAACCAATATAATCCTCTCTTGCGTCAACCCAATAAATACGTTCTGCCATATGATCGATAGTGATACCTGAAATTTTAAATTAATAAATAATAATAACATTGCTCGAATCGAGAATATTTTTTTTTTTTTGTTTTTTTAAAAAAAAACTTGGCACATATCATCAGGGTGTCTAGCGCTTTTGCCAGATAAAATTCCAGGGCTTTTCTAGGTTAAAAATTTTTTTCAGGTACGTACTATACAAGATTAAATTATTTTAAGTATCTTTTTGTAATAAACTAGTAATAAATAAATTTAATTTTTGGCATTCTCAGGCTTTGGATCGAATTTAGAGGAATAAAAAAGTAGTTTTCGTCGGTTTACATTTACAAGAAAACTCAAAAAAGTCGCTTCTTTTATTTTTAAATAAATACAGTTAGTTAGTAAATATTTTATTATTATTATTATTATTAAACAATTGTAATTAGAAATTAAATAATTTTTATTAATTCCTTAAGAAAAATGTTTCATAGGGATTTTTTCAAGAAATTTTATTTAAAATATTTCAGAATTAAACTGACAATGAGACAAATATTCAAGAATTCAATTCAGTATAGGACAAATTTTGAAAAATAATTTAAATTAAAAAAAAAATATTCGTATTATGATTTATGCAAATTGTTCGAATTCAGAAGTTTAGAAAATGTTTTAAATAATTAAATTTTCAAAGAACTTCATTAAAATATTATTAAAAAAAAAAATGAATTTAGTACAAATTTTAGAAATAATTGAAATTTGAAAAAGTTGCAGTTAAAATTTTTAGAAGTAAATGAATTTTTAGAGAGTTCAAGTAAAAATTTGTAGAAATAATGAAATTTTGAATTGAAACTTATAAATTAATATAAATTAAAAAGTTTAAAAATTTTAATTTAAACTCATAATTAATTAATTTTTGGGAAATATAATTGTGTTCTAAAAATCATTAGTTAGAATTTTCATTTTATTGAATATCATTTGTCATTTAATTATTTTTGAGCCGAATTTTTATTTGTTCGAATTTTCATTTAAAATAATAGGCATTTTAAAGAATTTTTATTGGGTAGAATTTAATTGCATAGAATTTTCTTTCCGATTAAATTTTTATTTCTTCGAATTATTATTTGATATTTAATTTCCATATTACAGAATTTTTACTTAACCGAAAAATCATTTAAGGCCAGGTCCAAGTGAGGCAGCGCCATCTACATTGATATTAAAATTTTGGAAAATTTTCAACAGCCTTTTCTTGAAAAAAAAAATGGTAAAATGCTTTTTCCTTTATGGATAATTGATTATTGGCAAGATATACACCAGCTAAAACTTTTTTTCAGTTAAAATAATAAAAAAAATTTCATGTCAATAAATTAAATATGAGCACTTTTTTCACAAAAACTGTAACACAGTACTTTCTCAGAAATTACAATCAAAAATGCAATTTCCATTTGGAAAATTAATAAACGCTAAAAAATACACGACCTAAGATTTACCAATCACGAAAATAACAAAAAAAAATTTTATTAAATATTTAACATATTGATACTGCTTTACTGATTGTGACAGCCCTTTGGTAGATTATGTATTTCAGGTGGTTAGCAACAGCGCCAATCTCCTCCTTTCGGCAAAACTGCGAAACGTCTGGTGACATATATAACCTGCCAAACGGCTGTCATAATGAGTAATATATGTTATGTTAAAATTTTTTTTTTTTGTTATTTTCGTGATTGGTAAATCTTAGGTCGTGTATTTTTTAGCGTTTATTAATTTTCCAAATGGAAATTGCATTTTTGATTGTAATTTCTGAGAAAGTACTGTTACAGTTTTTGTGAAAAAAATGCTCATATTTAATTTATTGACATGAAATTTTTTTTATTATTTTAACTCAAAAAAAGTTTTAGCTGGTGTATATCTTGCCAATAATCAATTATCCATAAAGGAAAAAGCATTTTACCATTTTGTTTTCAAGAAAAGGCTGTTGAAAATTTTCCAAAATTTTAATATCAATGTAGATGGCGCTGCCTCACTTGGACCTGGCCTTAACAGAATTTCTAATTGATAGAATTTTCATTTGTCCGAAATTTCAAATGGCCGAACAAACAATCGACAGAAAAATTTCGGTGCGATTTTTAAAATCAACCAATCAAAAATTAATCTCGCTATTCTACTCATTTACCATAACTTAAGGCAAAAATAATAAAAATAAAGCAATAAATAGTAAAATAATGTATTATATCATAGTTCATTCAGCGGCCACTCGCTCAAATTGGCGCTGTTTACTGGAGCACTGACACACTCAAGCAACGTCTGTGTATGCGCCGCCATGTTTCTTTTCATTTTCGTTTAAAATCACACTTTTTAAACTTCATTTTATAATAATTTAACGCAAAATTATGTATTTTTCGGAGAGCAGGATATTCCTTGTACCCTAATCTATCATCCCTCAAAATTTTAGACAAAAATCTTTTCTTATTTTAGAGTGAAACGTATACTACCAAAACACATTTTCCCATATGAGGTCACGTGGGAGGTTCCCACATAACCTTAAGTAAAAATTTTGTAGTATGAAAAATCGGTTATATGGAAATTCTATCAAATAATAATTCGAACAAATGAAAATTGGTCTCAAAAGTAATTATGACAAATGAAATTCCATAAAATGAAAATTCTAACTAATGATTTTTAGAATATTATCATGCGTCCCAAAAATCGAACGGTTCGGTTTTGAGAAAAGTCACTTTTTAGTTTTAATTTCAGTTTCTTAGATGCTTCCCGCTGTAGTTAAGTTATTTTTTACAACATATTTAAAATATTCTGACAACGTTAAATTTAAAACAATTATAACTTAAATAATTTTTATCAAATCAAAAAATACCTTCGTATTTTTTTACTTTCCATAAAAATGTCGAAAAAAAAAGAAATTTCTCAATTAAAATCTTAAGTAGAATACCCCATATTACAATAATTTTACATATAACCGCAAATTCATTTCACAGAATTTTCATCTGTTCAAATAAACATTTCGGTGAGAATTTAAAAATTTAACCAACCAAAATTTGTTGGTTAATTTTAAAATTCGCTTCTAAAAGTTTCGGACGGAAGGTAATTCGAACAAAAAATTGTGTAACAATGAAATTATGTATATTTTAAGAAGGCGGGAAAAATACCCCTTCCCATCAAGTGTAAATTGAGGGATATAATAGGAAAAATAGACAAATAATGGTATGACTCGATTTCAGTTCATTGTATAACTTTGCCGTAATGACACATTTGAAAAACCTTGGCGAGAGTTCTTCAAGTGTGACGTTTGTCTTTTATAAATTTTCAATCGTCAATTGTATTTTGTACAACAAACACAACGCTGAAGTACATAAAGTTAATGATCAACGAGTAGAAAGCAAATTTTTTTCTTTTTTTAGAAAGTTATCAAATTTATCTAAAAAAAAATTTTGTTTATAATCTGTTGATCTATAAACAGTGTAAAAGAATCTTTGAGATGAAAATTAATAGCATATTTCATTCAAAAAAATATTTTCTTAAAAATCGTTGATAATAAACGTTGTGTACTTTAGCATTGAATCATATTCAGAGCATTCTGAATACAAGAGATGGATAATTCAATAAAATAGCATCATTCGAGATTTAGTCGATCCTAAAATAAGGACAAGGCTGATTGTTTCGAATTTATTATCATCACCTACTATCATCAATAAACATCCCGAGAACTCCAACTCCGATGAGTATAACTTCTATTTAATTTCATCAATCTCATATATTTTAATTTAATTTATTTATATTACCATTTATTCAAGTCACTTTTTTGATTAAAATTTATCAAGCATTTTTATATTTACAGATCAAATTTACATCGGTAAAGTTAATAATATGATCAACGATTTAGAACAAAAAAAAATTTTCTATGCAAATTATTGTTATTTTTTATATAAAAAGTTTTTTGCAATATTTCTTGATTAAAACTTTTTTGAAAAAATATTTCTAGGCAGAAAATTAATTAAAATTATAATTTTTATTGAAACAATAATATTTTTTTTTCAATCGTTTATCATAAACGGTTTGAACTTCACTGGTATTTGAATTTAAAATGCAAAAAAAGTCGATTTACGTTCCAAAAAAATTCGATTTTTCTATTTTAATTAAATTTATTTAGTTAATAAGTTAATTATCAAGAAAATTTATTTCGATATTTTCAGAATCGAAGACGTAAATTTTTAAAATTGTAATTAAGTAGGACAAATTTCTTTAAAAAAAATTTTGACAATTCAATTTTAGAGAATTATTTGAAACTTTTTTAAATAATTGGATTTTTAAAGAAATATTAAAATTATTAAAAATAAATTGAACTTTGGACTTAGTTGAAATTTTTAGAAATAATTAAATTTCAAAAGATTTTTAAAAATTTTTGACAATAATTAAATTTTACAGAATTGAAAATAATTTATCAAATAATTTTAGACAATATTTTTTAGAAAGTTTTAAATTGAAGTATTTAAAAATAATTGAATTCAAGTGATTTTTAATTAAAATTTTTATGTTTACAAGCCTCGGATTATACGATTTTTACCGACTTTTTTCAAAAATACGATTTTTATCGACTTATTTTAATTAAATGCGACATTTTTTTTTTACATTAGAAAAAAAAATGTAAATAAAATACATTTTTTAGTATAAAATGTAGATCTTCTTCAATTCAATTATTTAACAAATTTTGAACTAAAATGATTCTTCACTAAATTAATTATTTTTAATAATTTTAATGAAATACATCACCAATCAGAGGTTACCATCAAAATTTATGATTGGTTAATTTTAAAATTTGCGTCCAAATTTTTCTGCCAAATATTTATACGGATAAATAAAATTTCTGTAAAATAAAAATTCGACATTTTAAAAATTCTGTCAAATGAACGAAATTTTTTTTCAACTTCTTTAAGTACGAATTTTATCACAAAATATTGTTTTAAATATCTAAAAAGAAGTTATTAATTTAATAATTGTTTAATTGACTCTTTTATTTTACATTGCCATCATAATTTTTAATAATTGATAGATTGAAAAAACCTCCCACGTGATCTAGTATGGGAAAATGTGTTTTGGTAGTATACATCTTACTCTAAAATGAAGAAAGATTTTTGTCTACAATTTTGAGGGATGATAGATTAGGGTACAAGGAATCTCGTTGTTCTCCGAAAAATACATAAATTTGAGTTAAATTATTAAAAAATGTGTGCTCCAGTAAACAGCGCCAATTCGAGCAAGTGTCCACTAAATGAACTACAACTAAATACATTATTTTACTATTTATTGCTTTATTTTTATTATTTTTGCGTTAAGCTATGGTAAATGAGTAGAACAGCGAGATTCCTTGTACCGAACAAAATCATTTCTCCGAAATTTTAACCCGAAATCATTTTTTATTTCAGAGAAAGTTTCAAACCACGAAAAAAAACGTCCTTTGACCACATACATACCCTTAAGTGCCAGTGAATATCAGTATTTTAAAAGAAAAATCTGAGTATCATAATTTTTAATATTATGTAAAATTTGAAATTCTTTACAAGTTCTAAACAATATTCACTGAAAAAAACTGCTTTTAATCTTTGTTTCAAAAAATTAAAAATTTTATTTGAATTAAAATTTCAAAACCTATTGAAACCTATAAATGAATAAAATACAAAATAGATATTTAAAAAAAAAAAGTGAGAAAAATAATTAAAACTCACCATTTGGCCATTCAACTGAACCACGGAAAAGTAGTTTGTAATTACTACCGTCCATATTAGCTCGATTAACTGATGCATTACCAGGTGCCCAATCGGTCCAAAATATATATCCCCTCAATGGATGTACAGCGATGCCTCTTGGTTTTTGTAAATTATTTGGTCCCAAAATTGTTCTTCTCATTCGTCCCATTGTATTGATATCGGTTCGAATTATTTGAATTCTCATTTTAACACCGTCAACAAAATAAAGTACATTTGAAACCCAATCTAAAGCCATTCCCTCAATGGAACTAAGATCAGTCTCAACAAGTATTTCAGGGTAACTCGAGCCATTCGACAGACATTGCCTTCCAATCGTGTCATTTACAATATCAGCCCAATAGAGGCAATTATTACGCATATCAAATTCAATCGCAATAACATTCTTTAAACCGTGAACTGGTAATTTTTCTAATTTTTTTGTTTCCAAATCAATTCTCGAAATATGTTCTCGTTGTGCGACAAGTAAAAATTCTCCCAATTCTGCCATTGGACATGGTATCTGCAACATTACATATTTAATTTAATTATTATACTTCTTTTTAAAATTATATAATTCATTACAATATTCAAAATAATAAATTACTATTTTATTTTAATGTAAATTTTATTGTGGTGTGTGAAATTTCTGTTTAGAAGAAATAATTGTAGCTATATAATAAATATTTTCCCATCTACATTTATATTATTCCGTTAATTTTAAATATTCTTATAAAAAAAAAATCTGCAAATTTAATTTACATAAGAAAAAATTTATGTACATAAACTTTTAAACATAAAATTTCCGGTAGCATAAAAAAATCTCGTACAAGAATTTTAAAAACCCTTTTATAAAAAAAATTATTCAAAATAATTCAAATTTTTTTTTTTCAACTTTTTTAATCCAGAAATATTCAAAAATTATTATTTTTCTAAAACAAATTTTTTGCTATACCTATTGTGCTAGTCCAGCAGAAAAAGAAGAAATTAAGAAATTTACGAAAAATTAAAAGTTTTTGAAAATAATTTTTAAAAAAACAAACATTTTTTTAATTCAGAAATATTTAAAAATTATTTTTAAAAAATTTTAATTTTTCGTAAACGTTATAATTGTTTTTTTTTCTTTGCTTGACTTGCACAATTTAACACAAAATTTGTTTTTGAAAAATAATAATTTTTCATTATTTTTGGGTTAAAAAAATTGAAAAAAACTTTGAATTATTTTTAATACTTGTGTTAAAAAAAGAAAGTACAAAAATGATTTTTTTGAAAAAATAAAATCATGTAAAAAAATTTATTTGATTCAAATATTCGATCAATTGACTATTATCAAATAAATATTTACTTGAACCAAATAATTTTTATTTGCTGTACCTGAATCAATAATTTCTGTATTTAAAACAAATACCATTTAATTGATTCAAATAAAAATTATTTGGTTCAAGTAAATATTTATTTGATAATAACCGAACGCACAATTAGAAAAAAAAAACATTGCCAGTTCTTTAATAAAATAATAATTCTTATATAATGAAAAAAAGAAAAAGAAAAGATTTTGCAAATTTCATCATCAAATAAAAGAATAAAATGAATTTGAAAAATCTCACCTGATCCGGCTCATACAAACTGGCGCGTCCACCAATGCAATCATCATTTGGAATCTTGATATAACCCTTTGTTCGATTATAAAATTCTCCAGGCGGACAAACATCTGGTATTTTATATGGATCATATTCTGATGTTTTATTTCTTATACAACGATAAGAAAGTGATGATTGATTTGTCTCGCGCACAAATCCATAATCACATTGATAATCATTTGCATCACATGGACATGTATCAATTTTAACTGGCCTATTGTAACTAACACCAATGTAACACTGTATACTTGCAGCTCGTCTCTGATAAATTTCCTTTCGTCCTAAAACACATGTCGACAATGATTCACGCGGTGTTGCTGGACTCCAAAATTTAAAATCACTTTGATCGCAAACTTTGGGGAATGCTTGTCGTAAATTAATTTTAATAATCAACCATTGATGTTGTCCAATTCCCGAGCCAAACATTGTAAATGTCGTTGTATTTTCACCTGGTTCCGTCATTAGTCCATAAATTCTCAATAAATTATCAGTAAATTCATGTGATTGCCAACTTTCACCTTCATTTGTTGAATATAAAATTTCACGTGTCTCACCACGTGATTTAAAATATTTCACCGCAACTAATACACCACCATGATCGCCCATATTGAAAAAATAATAATCTTCAAGCACTTGTTTCCATGTGAGACCCGCATCACGCGACATATAAAGAGCTGGATGTCCTTTCATACTTGTGCCAACTGTACCAGTTGCCATTATTATTCCAGGTGCTGATTTTGAACTCATTATTGAAGCCGCTCTTGTCAATGGATATAATTGAAAAAATTTCTGACCAAGATGTAGAGAACAATTCTTTGGACAATGTAAATAATAGCCTTTATAATTGTATTGCGGTGGATTAATAAGACCCCATGTTGCACCATGATCAAATGTTATCAACGATATCAAATGTTCTGGTCCAATATTAACTGACTTTGGTGTACCTTTTATTTGAGTGGCAATGTAAATTCCACGAAGACCTTCAACTTTATAAAGATCAGTGAAAGTTTCGTCGGCAACTTCACTGAAATTTACAAGGGTATTTAATTAAAAAATAATGTTATTTACAGTTTCGAGTACAAAAATTATATAGATTGAATTCATTTTAAATCAGGTAGGCTAAAAATGTCGTTGTAGTTGAAAATAAATTTTTTTTTCTCTAAAATATTGTTTTAAACAGGCTCATGCCTCGTATCGACTTTAAAGCGGAAAAAAAGACGTTTTAGTCTATTTAAATTCCAAAAAAAAATTCAAAGAATCGATTTTTTTTATTTTAATTAAATTTAATATAGTTACCTAATAAGTAATTTAATTTAAATAACTTAAATATTAAATACATTTTATTAATTCCTCAATAAGATAATAATTCTATGAAAATATTACCAAGAAAATTTATTTCGAATATTTCAGAATCGAAGACGTAAATTTTAAAAATTTTAATTCAGTAGGACAAATTAAAAAAAAACAATTCAATTTTAGAGTTTTTATTTGAAACTTTTTTAAATAAATTAAATTTTTAAAGAACTATTAAAATTATTAAAAATAATTGAACTTTAGAAGAGTTATAGTTGAAATTTTCAGAAATAATTCAATTTCCAAAGATTTTGTTAAATTTCAGAAACTAATGAAATTTTACAGAATTAAAAATAATTTATGAAATAATTTTTGATAATAGTTTCTAAAAGTAATTAAATTTTCAAAGATTTACAATTTACATTTTTAAAATTAATTAAACTGATTTTATTAATTGAAATTTTTTTTTGATTTATGTTGATTAAGAATTAATTAGAAATTTTTTTATTGTTATTGTTTTTTTGAGAAAAAGGAAATTTTTCTTTAAAAAAAATTTAAAACAATTTTTTTTTTTACCTTCTACCAAAATTAGGTACAATTTAAATTCTTATGGTAAATATTCTTTACTATGAAAACAATTTGCTAAAAAACAAAAAATTGAAACAAAAAAAAAGTTTGGGTATTTGAATAGGTAATTTGAATTTAGAAATTTTTTAGTAAAGTGTCTATCATTTTGGATTTGTTTTTAATTTTTCTACCGGATTTTTAAAGGGGAATGAGAACTCTTTCGGGTCCAAAAAAAACTTTTTCTCTAAAAAGCTTCGAAAAACAACATTTTGAAAAAAAAATTGAATTTCAGCTCCGATGATGTTTAGCCTGTCTGATTTGAAATAAATTCGGTCATTAATTATATAATAATTTTACAGGACTGATAAAAATCGTGATTTAAAAAAAAATCGATTTTTTTCTATTTAAATTTGATTTTTTTCATTTAAAGCAAATTTCTTTTTAGTTACGGCACATTTTTTAAAAATTCATATCTAAATTATTTGTTTTTTTAATAAATATTTAAAGTACACAAATCTAATAATACTTAACTAACACCTCACATTTTTTTAAAAAAAGAAAAAAAACTTTATGAAATCTTATGATTTATGACGATTTCATCTAAATATAAAACAGAAATTAATTTTCCTAACTCAGCTTTTCATTTTAATAATAGTTTAATATTTTGTCTACTGAGTAATTAAAATGTTATTTTAAACATCATTAGTAACAAGAAAAAAATTTGCATAGTTCGTAGAATTAATAACAAAATTGTTACGATGCTGAGCTCCACAAAGTTTATGATCAACAATTAGAAAACAAACTCTTTTTAAGACGGAGAATTATAAAAAAATTTTATCTATATAAAAATATTTTTTTAAATTTATTGATCAATAAACATTGCAAGAAACAGACGAAAATTCATAGAATTTTTCATTAAAATACAAAAAAAAATACATATATATTTCTATAAAAATCACTGATCGTAAACATTGTAAACTTCAGCATCATTTAATTGTTTGTATATATAGTAAAACTGAGAAAAATTTCAAAAAAAAAAAAATGTCCACAACATTATTGAATAATTAAAAATAAAAAAAATTTACATGCTAATTAAATTTTTCGATAAAGATAAAATAGAGATAAAATAAAAATAGAATAACAAAATAAATACATACTTCAGCCAACTTTCTTTCCAAGTGTTATTTGGGAAAAATGTAAAAATCCCTTCGAGTGATAAAACAAACGAAGCTTGACGATTATCAATAACTTCGGAAATATAAAGATTAATTAGCGTGTCACTGTGTGAAACCGCAACGAAAATACGATTATGTGAAACATCAGCAATGTGAAAATCACGAGCCGGCAAACCTCTGTCGAATTGTGCTTTCACAAAATCCTGATTTTTGAACGAGACATAAAGATTCAAATAATATTTTCCTGGTGCCCATACATTTCCCTAAAAAAAATTTTTATTAGTCAATTTAGTTTCCAATAAAATAAATAAATAAAAGTAGTACAACATTTAAGGAGAATATTTTGATAAAAAATTTTACAATACTATTTAATAATAATAATAATAATAAATATTATTACCGTTCGCGATTTCTTTGTTGCAAACATATAATCTCCTCGTATTTGAAAATCTTCAACTCCAGTGATTACTCTTGAATAATTTCTACTAGTCCAATGTGAAACTGTACCTAAATTTATTACTGTATTACGACCCATTGCTTCCGCACGTTCAATTATTAATGATTTAGGCCGCTCGGCTGTCCAATAAAATGCTTTCACAAATTCATGAACAACAATCCAAGTTTTTCCCAAATCTTTCGTTAACCATAGCTGTAAAGACAAAATTTTTTTAAAAATTCCATTTTTCTAAAAATTCCATTTTTTTTTAATAAAACTTTTTTTGAAATTCAATTTTTTTAAAAATACTTTTTTTCAAAAATAATATTTTTTATAATGAACACGTACCTTACGTTTCGGATCAACTTTATCCAATACCATAAAATAATAATGTTCATCGTCAAAAGAAATTTCACTCGGTGTAAATGGAACTTCAACTCTCGTAATATTATAACCAGAATTTCTTGTTATAAAAATTAATTTATTCGTACTATCAGCAAAAACGCACTGCAAATAAAAATAAAATGCATTTTTCGAAAAAAAAAAAATTTAATTCAACAATTTATTAATGTTAACAAAATATTAAATTATTCTGGTTAATCCATTATATTTCACTATTAATAAGTCGTTGCGGTCTATTTTTAGATAAATTTTGTAATTCGTAATAATTATTTTTGATATCCGTATACAATTCATTATTGATAATTATTTAATAAAATTTTCTAAACTTACCTTGGAATTTGAATTTTAAAGATGAGTAAAAAAAATTAATAATAATAATAATAATCAAGGTGGTAATAATTTTTATGATTATAAATTCCCGGTCAAAATTTTTGTAAATAATTTTATTTTTTCACATAAAAAATGAACTTTTTTTTCTAAAAAAATTAAAAACTTTTTTATTTTTTAATATTAATTCTTCTAATAAATTTTAATAATGCATTACTACAAAAAAATAATTAGATTCTTATTTTAAAAATACATTTTTCTGAGAAATTAATGCAACAACATGTAATAGACGATATAAATTTTTAGAATATCTGAAAAATCCCCGGTTTAACTATGAAATTCCCGGTCATTTCCCGGTTTTAATAAAAAATTAATTTGACAACTTCAAAAATTAAATAAAAAAGGACAGAAATATTATAGATAATGTCAATTTTTTCATTGATACTTCTTCAGAATCGAATAGTCTAATTTATTGATATTAATTGACTATTGTATAAAAAACAAAAAAAAATTTTTTTTTAAATTTACCTGTGAAATTTTAAACTTTAACACATTTAAATTAAATTTTTCAAAAATATTTGTAAATACCTATTTGTAAATTAAATGTTACTAAATTTTAAAATACTTCGAATGTATAGTTTCATGTAATAAGCTAATTTTTTAATTTTATATTAGGTACAGAAATTTGAAAAAAAAAAATTTCCTCCAATATTAAGGTTTTGAGAAATTTTTGCTAATTTTGAACATTAATAACTTTTTTCTAGAAAAACAAAAAATTTCAGTCTTTATTTATTTAAATTGAAAATTTCCTTTTTATCCTATATCGAAATTTGGTGTTGGAAAACAAGCTACATTTTATATTAATTGAATTTAAAAAATCTGATTCAAAAAACGAATTTAAAGATTAAAATGCAAATAGTTTTGTAAAACTAAACTTTGCTGTGTGCTGCAATTGAAAAAAAAGGAAATTTTTAATTTAAGTATTAAAACAAAGATTGGATTTTTTTTGTTTTTCTGGAAAGTAGTTATTAGTGATAAAAATTATCAAAAAAAAAATTCTCAAAACCTCAATATTAAAGGAAAATTTTTTTTTGTTACATTTTGAAATTTACGAAGCTGAAGTACGCAACGTTTATGATAAACGATTTTAAAGATTTAATTTTTTAAAATGAAAAATTCTATAATTTTTCGCCTAAAAAATATTTCTTGTAATTTTCATTAATTAACAAATTATAAAAAAATATTTTTTAGGCAAAACATTATAGAATTTTTCATTTTAAAAAATTATTTCTTTAAAAATCGTTTATCATAAACGTTGCGTACTTCAGCTTCGTTGAAATTTTACAGGTAAGTTAAAAAATTAATTTTCACATCATATTTTGGTCTTTTTTTTATACGCAGTAAATTAATTAATATGTACTATTTTTTCTACATATTTCTTACCAACCGGCATAGAATGTGCTTCCGGCATACTTCTTTCATACATCTCAATATTTTAATAAAAGTAAATAGCAAATAGAGAATTTTAATTCACAAAAAATAAAAAATTTAATGTTTTACAAGTTCTGAAAGTTCTAATTCAAGTTTTATTATAAAATATTGGGTTTTGTCTTAAAAAAAATAAACAATTTAATAAATAATTATTTTTCATTGCTGTAATAAATTTAAATAATTTATAGATCAAAAAATTGTTCATTTGAACGTTTTAGAACTTTAAGCACATAAAATTTAAGGCTCAAATTTAGATTTAATTAAATTAATATGTATAAGTCAATTGGACTATTTTCAACAATTATCAATGAACAAACTGATATTATCTATATTATTTTTGTTCTTTTTTATTAAATTTTTAAAACTGTCAAATTAACCTTTCTCCCACGCAACTTATTTTCCAAATTCAGATTCCAAGATTAATCACGGTGCTTTTTAAACCGATTTAACCTAAAGGTTCTGGAACCTAGGATTTTCTTCTTGATTTCGCTTAAGGCGAGGTCCAAGTGAGGCAGCGCCATCTACATTGAAACTAAAATTTTGGAAAATTTTCAACAGTCTTTTCTTGAAAACAAAATGGTAAAATGCTTTTTCCTTTATGGATAATTGATTATTGGCAAGATATACACCAGCTAAAACTTTTTTTGAGTTAAAATAATAAAAATAATTTCATGTCAATAAATTAAATATGAGCACTTTTTTCACAAAAACTGTAACAGTACTTTCTCAGAAATTACAATCAAAAATGCAATTTCCATTTGGAAAATTAATAAAACGCTAAAAAATACACGACCTAAGATTTACCAATCACGAAAATAAGAAAAAAAAATTTTATTAAATATTTAACATATTGATACTGCTTTACTGATTGTGACAGCCCTTTGGTAGATTATGTATTTCAGGTGGTTAGCAACAGCGCCAATCTCCTCCTTTCGGCAAATCTGCGAAACGTCTGTTGGCATATATAACCTGCCAAACGGCTGTCATAATGAGTAAAATATGTTATGTTAAAATACTTTTTTTTTTGTTATTTTCGTGATTGGTAAATCTTAGGTGGTGTATTTTTTAGCGTTTATTAATTTTCCAAATGGAAATTGCATTTTTGATTGTAATTTCTGAGAAAGTACTGTTACAGTTTTTGTGAAAAAAGTGCTCATATTTAATTTATTGACATGAAATTTTTTTTATTATTTTAACTCAAAAAAAGTTTTAGCTGGTGTATATCTTGCCAATAATCAATTATCCATAAAGGAAAAAGCATTTTACCATCTTGTTTTCAAGAAAAGGCTGTTGAAAATTTTCCAAAATTTTAGTTTCAATGTAGATGGCGCTGCCTCACTTGGACCTGGCCTTAAAGATCATAAATACATCATTTTTAAATAAAAACGAAAATTTTCTGTGGAGCCATTTTTGAAAAAAGTCAATTTAAAAATTAAAAATGACCAAAACTTAACTTTTCTTGAAGTATACTTTATAAACATAATTAAAAAAATACTATTTTTCTTTTTCTACTTTTAATTAATAATTTTATATAAAAAAAGGAAAATTTAAACTATAATGTTATAATTAATTTATGTTGATGATTAAAAAAAAAAAATAAATGACCGCAACGACTCTCAAACGAAGGTCAATGGACAAACCCTGCTATATTTAATTATTACGAGGGGATATTCACTAAGGAAATCAGAAATCGGTAGAGGTAATCGTTGGAAGATTTACATACAGATTTCTAAGATTTCTACGCGATTATCAGAGATTTCCAGTGACTGCCTATATATGTATTTAAGTTATTGAAATATAGCTTCGGATGAGCTCGGTAAAAATCGGATTTTAAACGGTCATTCATGATTGTGAATGTTTTAAATATGTCAAAACAAAGCACCATAAGTTATTTTTTAAAATTGCATATTTCCAAACTAAGTTTTTTGAATTTTTTTTATTTATTTTTATAATTTATATTATTTTTTTTAAATACAATGCTGAAATACGCAACACGTTTATGATAAACGATTAGAAAGCAATTTTTATTTAACACGTTAAGGGGCCATTCATTAATTACGTAAGGACGATTTTGGCTAATTTTGACCCCCCCTACCCCCATGTAAGGATACATAAGATTTTTCGGACCCCCCCTCCCCCTTCTTACGTAAGTTTTTAACAATATTAATGTAATTAAAAAATTAATTACATCAATACAAATGGAAAATACTTGGCAAAATCTTACGTAAGATTAGCTTCTACCCCCCACCCCCCACGTAAGACCATGTAGAGATTTTATAAACCCCCCCTCCCCCTAAGGACCTTACGTAATTAATGAATGGCCCCTAAGGGTATGTGGGCAAAGGACGTTTTTTTGTGGTTTGAAACTTTCTCTGAAATAAAAAATGATTTCAGGGTTAAAATTTTGGAAAAATGGTTTAGTTTGGTACAAGAAATCTCGCTATTCTTCTCATTTACTATAACTTAACCCCAGACGCGAAAAACCAATGCTGACGATGGGTTGAGGCTTGATTGTAGATTGAACGCCCAGTGTGGGTAACCCAGACTGAAAGCAGCCTTTATACCACTGTCGATCAAAATTGGTTCAAGATTGGTTACCAATGCTCGTCTCATGCTGGATTCAAGACTAGTTGAATCCTCATGAGCAAAGCCTAGGAGTCCAGTCTAGATTCAATCTTGAATCAACATTCGACTTAATATTCGCAGCTTAATTCAATATTAATTATTATCTTGTATAAAAACAATTGTATTGAGTAATTATTTATATACGTTCAATACAAATTAAATAACACATTTTTTACAATTTTTGTTAAATACAATTTAATATATTTTATAATTATTAATTAATATTATTTAAACTAATATATTGCTATTTATTTCAATGAAAGTATTCTTTGTTTTTTTATAAATAAATATTTTATAAATATTATATTTGTAAATACAATAAAAATCATAATAATTATATTCAACACATTTTTGAAAATAATTTCTTTTAATAAATTTTGTTTTTTTAAGATTATATTATAATAATTTATCATCTTTATTATGTATTATTATATATTATAATATACCTATAATATTGTAATAATTAAAGAATTATTATTTAATACATTATGAAGATAATAAATCTTTAATATAACGTAAAAAACATAATATTTAGTATAATTGTATTTTCAAAAATACAAATAATTGAAAATACAACAGTTGAAATATTTTCAAATTTATATTATGCTTTTATTTTATATTTTTATTGTATTTATAAATATATAAGTTATTAATTTAATAAAAATAAAAGTTTATACATTCATTACAAAGTTTTTTTATTCCATTAATAAAAAAAATTTTAATATAATTTATTTAAATTAATAGCAATATATAAATTAAAATAATTTTATAATAATATTAAAAATATATAAGTAATTTAACGATAAGAAAATTTTAAATTTAGCTTAAAGGCGCGCCAAAAACATCACAGGTATTAACAGAATGTCGCCAAGTAGCTAGCGTGGCCCCGTGGTTAGCGTAGTAGGTTTGCGAGCGCGAGCGTTAGGTCGTGGGTTCGGTGCCCAGTGCGAGCGAGATTTTTCAAATTAGATTAGGTGTTATTTCGACAGGTGTTGTTAATTAATCTTAAGTGATGATACAAAAATAGTAAAAAACTGCGGATTAAATTAATTAAATAATAGTACATTTTTTTTGAAATTACTAATAATAATTAAAGGAAATAAGTTGCATTGACTCTTATAAGATTCCAATACAACTTATCTCCTTATTATTAATAAATTAAAATCATATTTTTAATGAATACTAATGTTGTTTTAATATTATCTATAAATATAATAATACGAAATATTAATAGGATTATTATTATTACTATTATTATTAAGAATTATTGAACGCGAGAATAGTAAGTAACAGTGGGAGCAGTCTTGAGCGAGCCTGAATCAGCATTCGGCAAGATTGATTGAGTCTTGGTCACCAATGCTGAATCAAGAGTGGATCTTCAGGTCGGAATCGGTGTTACATTCTAGCTTGGATGAGTCTTATTCCCGCTGACTGACCAAGGCTCAGTCAATATTGGCCAATGCTCAACGAGTCTTTAAAAAGCCTGAACCCAGCGTCCCTTCGCGCCTGGGACGCGAAAATAATAAAAATAAAGCAATAAATAGTAAAATAATGTATTTAATCGTAGTTCATTCAGCGGCCACTCGCTCGAATTGGCGCTGTTTACTGGAGCACTGACACACTCAAGCAACGTCTGTGTATGCGCCGCCATCTTTGTTTTCATTTTCGTTTAAAAATGCCACTTTTTAAACTTAATTTTTTAATAATTTAACGCAAGATTATGTATTTTTCGGAGAACAGCGAGATTCTTTGAACCCTAATCTATAATCCCTCTAAATTTTAGACAAAAATCTTTCCTCATTTTAGAGTGAAATGTATACTACCAAAACACATTTTCCCATACTAGGTCACGTGGGAGGTTCCCACATACCCTTAAATTATAAAATTGTTTACCTAAAAAAATATTTTTTTATAATTTGTTGATTAATAAAAACTACACGAAATATTTTTTTTGAAAAAAATTATAGAATTTTTCATTTGAAACAATTATTTCTTTAAAAAGAATGGCCGCGAGGAATGTACATATAAATAAATAAAAATCGTTTATCATAAACGTGGCGTACTTTAGTTTCTTTTTTTAATCAGGCTCTAAAAGTGCTCTACAAAACAGAGTTGGTTTGGGGCACGTTATTTCGATAGGGTAATTATAATACAAAAATTCATTTTCTAATAAGTGAAAAAAACTTTAGTGCTTCGTTTTTATACATAACTGTGTCTTATTTTTATGTTAGAAAATTGATTATAATTATAATTTGACGAGGAATACAACATAACCTTAAAAAAGTAATATCTATATTTTTACGTAATTTTAAGTTAATTTAAAAACTTTTTGTTAACGATATGTTAAAGAAATTAAATATTTTTTATTTACGATAGATCCGAGGATATATCAATATAATAATAACAAAAAAATAATATCAATACAAATTATAATACTAATATAAGGTAAGATTTATTGTCAATAAACTGTCAATAATACTTCGGAATTGCTCGGATTCGTTCGCCAAATATCGGTTGCGCAGTTAAAAGAACGAAATCCACGATTTCTGCCGGGATTTCCCGAGATTTCTATTGAGATTTCCTAAAATTTCTTAAATATTTTATTAATGCTAAAATCAAGAAATCACGATTTCCTTCAAGTGAATATCCCCTCGAATTATTATTATAATAATTTATAAGAAATAATATTTTTATTCCTATAATTTAATAATATTAAATTGTTAATTAAAATTTATAAAATAAAAAATACGTACAAATTCATTAAATGTCGGATGATTATAAAATTTATCCACACTGGCGTAAGATGAATTTTTCTCATCTGATATTTTAAATTTTTCTGTTTTATTATCAAATGAATTGCCATAATCGTAACTTATGTAAACAGCACTTGGATGACTTGCTGTTACATTTTTATTGTTCTTATTCGATTGTGACAAACTATCTCGGGCAAGACATATTATAATACTGGACCCTTCGCCGACCCAATGAACCATCAGCTGCTGATGAGAGTCATTGAGCGCATTCACCTAGAAAAATTAATGTTAATTTAACATTTTTAAATTCAATCGACAACTTTTTAAATCTTTTTTTTTTTTTGAATGGTTAATATAATTTATTCAATTATATTATTTATTTATTTATTATTGTTCCATTATTTTATTTAATCATTTTTATTTATTTATTATTTACAAACATAGAAAATATATAAAATTATATTATATTATATATATTAGAAAAAATTTAAATATTTTATAGAGAAAAAAAAATAATAAAAATTTTAATTAATGTGACGCGCTCTGAAGAAAGGGACCTTAAAAGCAAAAAATATATAGGTTACGTTTTGAAATTTTAAATTGAAAATACACAAAAAGAATCAACTCTCAATAGAAATAATTGATATTTAAGGCCAGGTCCAAGTCGTGTCAGCTGTTCCATTGAAACTTCAAAGGAACAGCTGACTCGACTTGGACCTGGCCTTAAGTCTTCATTACATCCAAAATATTTAATAAAAACTGATGTTAATTTTACAAAAGTAAAAAAACATTTTTAATCTAGATAAAATTACCGTAAATATAACCTATAATTCGTTTGCTTCTAAGGTCCCTTTCTTTTGCATAGAAAAATATTTTTTTTTTCTAAATTGTTAATCATAAACAATGAATCTTTATTTTGGTTAATTAATAATTAATTAATGTCTTATGTAATAGTACTTTGTACGAATGGGCTCTGTCCATATATTTTAAATAAATAAATAAATAAACATTGTGAACTTCACCGATGTAAATAAAACATAAAAAGCAGATTTGTAATAATTAAATGATAATTTTTTATTTGCCATTTAAAGTAGAATTGGACAAACAATTCGTAATCTTTAACGTCGGTGAAGTTCACAATTTCTATGATCAACGATTTAGAAGAAATAATATTTTTCTATGTATGTAAATTCAGGACGTTGCCTTAAGAATAAATTTTTCAATTTCCCTGACATTGAAAAATTTCCCCTGACAAAATTTTTTTTTTTATTAAATTCAGGCCTCGGATCGACTTAAAGGCACAAAAAAAAGTCGTTTTAGTCGATTTATATTCCAAAAAAAGTCATTTTTTTTTTTATTTTAACCAAAATATTTTACAGATTTTTAAATAAAATTTCTTTTTTTAAATAATAATACTTTTGGAAGGGTTAAAGTTAAAATTTTTAGAAATAATATTGAATTTCAAAAGATTTTGTTAATTTTCAGACAATAATTAAATTTTACAGAACTAAAAATAATTTATTAAATAATTTTAGATAACATTTTTTAAATTTAAATGAGCCAAAAGTTCTGAACGTTCAAATGAACAAAATATTTTTTTAAATCTATAAATTATTAAAAATTATGATGGCAATGTAAAATAAAAGAGTAAATTAAACAATTATTAAATTAATAACTTCTTTTTAGATATTTAAAACAATATTTTGTAATAAAATTCGTACTTTAGGAAGTTGCAAAACAAATTTTGTTCATTTGAACGTTCAAAACTTTTGGCTCATAAATTTAATTGAATTTTCAAAGATTTACAATTGAGATTTTTGAAATTAATTGAACTTCAAGTGATTATTAATTAAAAATTTTCGATGATTTCACTAAAAAATTTATTAGAAATTGCGGACAAAAATACAATAATTTGAAAATCATTTTTAATTGAAAAATGGTTTCAGATAGTTGAACTTTCGAAGAATATTATAAAAATAGTTAAAAATAATTGAATTTCCGTAGAGTTATAATATATAATTGAAATTTTTGAGAATAATTGAATTTTAGTTGATTTTGAATTGAAAATTTGGAAAATAATTGAATTTTCTTTGATTTGGAATTGAAATTTTGGGAAATAATTGAATTTTCTTTGATTTTTAATTGAAATTTTAGATAATAATTTAATTTCAGTTGATTTTTGACTAAAATTTTTGATAATAATTAATTTTGAATTGAAATTTTTGAGAATAATTGAATTTTAGTTGATTTTGAATTGAAAATTTGGAAAATAATTGAATTTTTTTTTATTTTGAATTAAAAATTTTTAGTAATTTTATTTGATATTTTTTTAAAATTATAAGCAATTGTTAAATTTCATAAAAATTTTAATTGAAAAATATTTTGAAATAATTGAATTTGTAATGAACTTCATTAAAATTATTTAAAATAATTAATTTAGTGAAGAATTTTAGTTTTAAAAATTTGTAAAATAATTGAAATAAAGAAGATCTGCATTTTATACTAAAAAAAATGTATTTAATTAAAAAAAATTTTTTTTTAAATGTAAAAAAAAATTGTAAAAGTCGCATTTTATTAAAATAAGTTGAAAAAAGTCGGAAATAGTAAAAAAAGTCGTATAATCCGAGGCCTGTAAATTTAATAAATCATAACAGAAATCTAATAAAGTGAAATTAAAAAAAGCGTTTTTTGTCACCATATTTCATTCTATTCAATAGAATAAAGATCAAAGTACATTTTTTCATAAAAATCTGAATAATTTACCGAAAATATCTTACAAAAATGTGATAAAAAATAATTAACGTACAAAATAACTAATTTGCATTTTTTTTCAAATTTAAATGACACTATTGCAACATAACCTACAAAATTTTACAATTATTTCAAATAATAATAATAATAATAATAATAATAATTTATTTGTTTCTGACTTTTACAAATTAAATTTATGTCAAATACAACTTTTAATTATTTAAAAGTGTTAAAAATAATATTTCCCACAATTTTACTGAAAAAAAAAAAAATGTTTAAAAAATTTGTTTTTATTTAAAATCAATAGTTTACAAATATTTGAATATATTTTTTTAATTCTTCTATATGACATAAAAAGATGAATGATTTCTATATTTCACTACATGAAAAACAACAATAAAATGCAAAAAAAATATTATACTAAGTAAATAAAATTTGTAAGCAAAGTGTTTTACATTTAAGACACAGAAGTGCTTATCATGACGAAAGGCTTATCTTCATATATATATATATATATATATATATACATGTGTGTATATATATTCTCGTACATAAATATCCCACCGAAGCTTTTAAAGTGAGCGAAAATGAATCATAGAGACTTTGTGATGACTTAAATGTGTAGCTATTTGTCTGTTTTAGTTTATATATAAATATGTGAAAAAAATATATCAAAGAAAAATGTGACGAATGACTAATTTTTTATTTAATTATTATTATTATTATTATTATTATACGATAAAGAACATAATGTGGTTAGCATTTTATCTTTCGCGACTCCTCCTAGAATATTCTCAGAAATTTATCAATATACAAAAAAAGTAACATCAATGCACGAACACTGCAACCTTTCACAACATTTTAAACTAATTATACAAATAAAAGCCAAGGAGGAATTTAATTTAATTTTTCTAGTGAAACTTTAATTATGCATTTTCATTTCATTTTTAAAAATAAATCAATAATAATTAATCTTAAAAATTATTTTCGTAATTCATCATGATAATTATTCAATTATCAAAAAAAAAAAAAAAAAAAAAAAAAAAATTAATAAAGATAATATTACGAACAATGTTTACAAACGTATTATAAAGAACAAAAGATGCAGTGCTGTAATTAGCAATACCTTTGGATGTTATATTTTTCAAAGAATAATATTTAAAATTCTCCGCCTTTTTGAAAATTTTCCAAAAATATTTTATTTTTGTGATTTTTATTTTAAATTTTCCAAGGAAATTTTTTGTGCAAAAAAAAAACAAAAACGGAACAAAAAATCATTTGGCAAAGAAAATTTTTTCTTTAACAAGGTTTCCTTTAATGACACTGACATATTTTTTATCAGACGGTTATCACATCTGCCTCTTATATATATATACCTCTTAGTTTTATTTTGTACATGTTTTGTATAATCTCGGTATCATTTAAATGTAAATGCGTTAATGATAAACTATAGATGATATACAAGTTTAATTAACTTCAAGCTCAATTTTTCATTAAAAAAAAAAATGATTACCCTGACTTTTTCTATATACGTATATATACATTACATATATATGTAAATTACCTAATGATATCGATCACATGATCAAATTTCCTTTAAAATAGAAAAAAAAACAGATTTATTTTTTTCTAAAAAAAAATCTATAATTTTATCACTAATATTGTGAAAAAATAAACTGAATTAATTTATATATTTTCCAAAAAATTATATATTTATTCTGGGAATTCCTCTAAAAAATAGCGGAAAGTCCGTGTGACATGCTGATTAAATTTGTCTGTAACTTTTATTTTTTTTTTAAATTATTATAAAATAAAATGTTTTCTTTCCCGAGAAATATAAGAAAAAACGTGTCCAATAAATTTTTTGATTTTATGACAAAATTGAAAAAAAATATAAATACAATACAAAAAAAATTTCCCGCTTTAAGGTTATGTTCATGTCAATAAATCAATTAAACACAGGACTTTTTTTTCCAAAATAGAATAATTTTAATATTTCCCATTCACATGAAATTTAAAAGATATTATTTCACTTTTTTACCCTATATCTTGATAAAAGGAAATATGATTTTTATTTCAAATAAATATCAAAGCTATAAATATATAATTGCGAATATAAAACCCACATTGAAATATTTACACAAATTTTTTTGTCATATACCTGTGTTATTGCTTCTAAAATACCGTGAAAGGATTTTGCCGCAGTAAAAATAGGGACCCCTATCTTCAGAAACATCAAAAGGGAACTCTTCCCCCTCCCCCATCCCCTTTTAAATTATATACACACTTCCGACAAGAATCTAAATGTGAATTCTCTTTTCAAGTGCACAATTATATCATTTAACTTCCTTTTTGTTCGTATAAAAATGACAATTGTCATTCTATTGGAAATAATTAATTTTTTAAAATATAACAATTGAAGAAAATTATTATTTTTTTTTTATTCAAATAAAAAAACTGAAATAATCCAATAGAGTAAATCTGACACTTTGATCTTTAGAACAAATCTTATCAACTTGTAATCGAGAATGTAAATTAATCTTCACGATATAGACAATCAATAACGAGACATTCTAAATTATTTATCTATTGTCAGTAAAAAAATAATAATTTTCTATATAAAATATTAAAATATAACTAAAACTATTATAATTGACAAAAATTATTTTTAATTAAATTATTATTATTATATATATAATAAAAACTAAGAGCCATTTTAAAAGTTGAATCATCAATTTATTTTTATGCTTTCTTTGTTTGAAAAAAAAAAATGATAACATATATTTGAAACTAAACAAAAAAATAAAGAAACAAACAATTTACGTAAAAAGACAGCAAAACAAAGAAAAACGCTCTTCTATAATCTATGGACTTGAAATAATGAAAATAATTCAAGTGCATTAATTTCATATACTTTTATTAGCATAGAAACAGTTATAATGTATCTCTATGTTAAAAAAAAGAGAACTATATAGGCGGTTAGTGACCTCAACACGGTAATAACAAACGAGTATGATACGACGCAGCTTCCGTCAAATTGACAAATTGACTTGATTTATAAGCGCACACGGAGCTCAATACAATAATTACTCAAAAACCCGTTCTCGTTTTGTAAAGCAATGCACCTAGTAAGCGTATGTGTGTTTTTTTTAACAGAATATATTACCAATTTACAAGTGCATTTTGCCAACAATCGTCAAAAAAAAATATAAATACAACATAAAGGGTGCGCATAACACTTAACAAAAATAAACATTTTTTTTTTCGATAGACATTTAATTTCTAAATATAATTAAAATAAAAAATCTATCTTTAATGACCCCAATGGACATTAAATCATCATTATCATGTATATAGTATAAAATTCTACTTACCTTGGTTTCGATTTTTGATTCGTTTGTCGAAGATGCATCTCTACGCGTTCTGATGAATGACGTTCGGTCTGTGTCATCGTTAACATTATTTCTCTCAATAATAAACGATTTTTTATGACGTATTTGTTCAGTGTCCTCAGTAATATGTAAAGTTTTTGATTTATCACCAAATCTTTCACCCAAATTACAATGTATTAAAAGAAACAAATATAAAAGAAAGGAGAAGTAACAAAAGGCCGAAGTCACCCGGTCGGCCATCTTGCGTAGACTAATTTCTTTCTTTCCAAAACACCACCAATTCACCCTTGCTGCGCAGCTGCGTTGCGCATATATATATATACATATATGTCTTTTTACAAAAGATACCGATTTATGATTAATTAAAAATTATTATTATGATGATGATGATTATTCATTATTTGAAAATAGTGAATATTTTGTTCTTGAAAAGAATTTTTTTTTTCCCTCTTAAAGAATTTAATTGTTTTAACATCAATTTAATTTTATTTTGAAATAAATTATAGGTATAAGTAAATATTATATTTTTTTTTTATCTTTGAAAATAAAAAAAACTGGATAATAGAAAAATTAAATATGCGCTGAGAAAAAAGTTATTTTTAATCTCATTAATAAAATATCTTTGTATTAAAATTTCATTAACTTACTCATTTCTTTTATTTTTGAATTATAATTCTAATTCACTAATATTGAGAATGGAATATTTCTATACGCAAAAAAAAAAAAAAAAAATTGTTTTTTTCTGACGAATGGTGAGTTTTTTTTGGTTTATTGCTGATTAGGTATTTTTATGATTTTGTATTATATAAGATATTAATTTTTTGTAAGTACTTAATTGTTATTTAAATTTTTTTTTATGAAATTCTGTAGTGGAAGTTGGTTTATAGGAACGTGTTTTTTTTCCGAAATCGATGCCCTTGGTGTTCGTTAATTTTGATTATAAAATAATAAAATATCTATATAGTAAACTGAAAAATCTCCTTGTTTTAAAAAGAAGAAAAATTTCAATTTTACAAAAAAATATAATAAAAAAAAAGTTTAAATATAATTATTATTTTATTATAATTTAAAAAGACAAAGTACCTTATTTTGTATAATGGTAGCATATAATAAAAATAATAAAATATACTAAACTTTCGCTTATTGCCGTGTACAAACCTTTGACAGGGAAGATGACTAAAAAAAATTGCTTTCTTATTTTTTTTATATACTAAATGTAATTCTTGACAATTTTTATTGATCAAAAAATTATAAAAAAAAAACCTTTAATAAATTTCCTTGTCATATATTTGTTGATCGTAGAGGACTTCAGCATTGTAAAATTTTTATAGGTTATGTTACCCGGAATAGTATTTTATTCTCAAAAAAATATTTAATTTTCATTCAATATAAGCAACTTTTAATTATTGGTGGCAAAATTAAAATTATTTATATATACTTCCATTGAAATAATAATTTTTAATAATAAATTATAATTTATTTAAAAATACATACCAAAAAATATGTAAAATTGAACTAAGTTTTATTTCGAATTATTTACGCAAGATTTTTTTAAAAAGAAGGAATTCATTCTACAATAACTTCTACAATATTTTTCATCTTTACTTTATATATATATACTTTTAGATCAAATTTATCATTGGACAATGGTACTACTACACAATTGACGCGTCATAGAGACATAATGATATTGTTAGGTCACGTGACTGTCTAAATGGTAATTTTTACGATAAAATTTCTCGTAAAATACTGAATGGTATTGAGCTGGAATTTTGTTAAGATATCTAAAATATTATAAGGAAGGTCAGTGAGGTCCGAAACTGTTGATATTTATTGAAATAATTGTTATAAAACACTATGGAAAATTGATAGAAAATTTAAGGTTAGAAGTGTCTCGTCACTGTTCAGATTTTCTAATAACTTTCAATTAAATTAATATCAAGTTTCGAAAATCACTGTCCTTTCTTATATTTTATCTTTACAAAATTCCAATCTAAATCGATTCAATAATTTACGAGAAAAGTTATCGAAAAAATTAACATATTTTAATAATCACGTGACCTAACAATCACATGCACTTAATTTTACATTGAAAATCGAGGAAAAAAAAAATTGATATTTCAATTGTCTAACAAAAATAAGACGTATATATGAGAAAAACAAAAGTTTTCCAACAATTGTTTCTAAAATTTGTTGATATAGTATTGAAAAATCTAATTTTTGCGCTAAAAAATTAATAAATTTCAAACAAGCGAAAACTGATAAATCTACATTGATCGGAAGCGATAAATTTAATCAATAGAATGTATATATATTCTCATTTTTTTTTTTTATTATATGCATATCATGGTTTTTAGAAGCATTTTTACATCCGATGAATTTTCACTATTGTATTATTATATAGTTTTTCATTTTATTTAGAATTATTATATTTCTGTCTTGTTCAATACTTCTAAACGTATACGAATAAAACGTCTTATTACTCATTCAATAAGTTATTTTACAAAAATCTATAAAAAAAAAAAACTTATTTTTATAAATAAAACATATTAGCGAAGTTCATTGGAGACTTTGGATCTTAATATAGGTCCCAGGAAAGGGTTATACACTCTTGAATTTGCATAATTACTTTTGGCCATTGGTTTAAAAATTCTTTAAATTCTTCAATATCAAATTCTAACGATAAAAATTTATCATTGAATAATATTAAACAAAATATTTTAAAACCACCAAAAAATTGTGATGAAAATTCGAATGTTGGCCCTTTTTTTACGATCCGAAGCCTCATTTGAGGAAGAATTAGATTTAAAAAAATCGTCACGATTTTGGCAAAATAGCCTAAAATTTAACAAGATAGTTTTTCGTAATATATATATATATATATATAGTTAGAAATTTGTAATCTTTATCCAAATGCAACTTTTAATTATTCAAAGTGTTGAAAGTGGAAAAAACGCTCACGCTCTTTTTTTTTTAAATTGTTTAATTAAAAGTTATTTTTTTTCTATTTAAAAATACGAAAATGTGCAAGTAAGACTATTTTTTTCAACTGTTCGTCCGATTCTTCCTTGAGTCAGTCTCTGTCAAAAATTAGTACCGGAAATTAGAAATTTTTTTTTTTTTTTTTAATCAATTTGGTTGTTAATTTTCAAAGCAGCAAAAAAAAAAATTTTCCATTTTTTCGTTATTTTAATTTCCAAACTTATACAAAATTAAAAAAAAAATTTTTATTATAAAAACAAAAATTAAAAAAGAAAATGCTGGATTTTTTTGTTTGTCAATTTTCAATTCCGGGTATAGAATTTTTGACAACTGTGACAAATGAACGACTTCTAAAAAAAATCAATTAAATAAAATCAATGTAAGGAAGGCAATTTTCGAAACGAAAAGAACATTTTTTACTTTCATGAATTATATATATTATTTATAATAATCATAATATAATATTTTATCTTTAAGGATGCGACTCATAGATATTTAAAAAACATGTAGTCAAATTGATAAATTTGTCAAAAAAAAAAAAAAAAAAAAAAATCTAACGTGAGAATATCTCAAATGGATTATTTAGATATTTTTAAACATTTTTTTTTTTTTTTCCTAAAATCTCTTTTTTTTCTCTCTCTTTATCTTTCTCTTGATTCAAGGCGCAATAAGCTTCAGTTTTGATAAAAAGCACTTTACAAAAGCCGTAGTCGCATTACACCTTAAAAAGAAAGCGTGGAATAAGCGTTAAAAGCTCTCCGGCAGGGCGCTTTTTGAGAAAAAAAAATTTTTTTTTCTTTTTTTTTTTCAAGGATTTGACTCTGATAAATATTAAAAAAAGTAATAACAATTAGAAAATGAGTATAGCAAGTATGCTACATATTTTTGTGTTAAATTTTTTATTAGACGAATTACATATTCACATATTATGAATTATAATTATAATTCGTCTAATAAGAAATTTACTACACTTTTAGATTTATATCTAAAGAATTAAATAATAACTGTACCGCTTTTGTATAATTATTATTATTATACTCGGAATTGTATAGAAGAGAAAAATTCTTTTCGTTCATTACAGCTTTTAATTAATTTTTTTTTTTTTTTAATCTTTATAACATTCTTTAAAAGCTATATCTCATATTAATACGTCATCCCAAGTTAGCGCATCTCTTAAATACATGGCAGTAATTAAAAACGCTTTTTTGGGATGCTTTATAATTTATCCAAAATAAAAAGACGATATTTATTTATATATTATATATATATAAATTTCTGATGGAATACAAGGATTTAAATACTTTTTTTAAAATATACGTAACAGGATTATTTCTTGATACTGTGTCGTATAGTCTTAATCCGTCAATGTTAAAAAGATCATATAATAATCTTCATTCAATATTACACATTTAATACAATTTGTGCGTTGTTCCCAAAAAAAAAAACAAAAAAAAAAAAAATCAATCTACAATTTTCTTTCTTATATATGATGACAAATAATAAATTTGTCCACTTAAACAAAGACTAAACAATTTAAAAAATTAAACACTCTTCTTAAATCCAATTAATCATTTACACAACAACTGTATAAAAGTTTTTTTTTTTAAGTATTAAAAAATTGATATTAAAAATACAAGCCTGAAGCAAAGTGTAAAAAATTTGCATGTTTCTTTCCCTCCTTTTTTTCTTACTTCGTGGTAAATTTCCGTTACGTCAATTTGTCCAGGATTTTTTTTTTTCGATTATAAATGGAAAAAAAAATTCTAGCATTCCAAAGAAAGAAAGAAAAAGTTAAAAGATTGATCAGGCTAACTTGGGATATTGCATGTTACACCTTCTCTATCTTAATATTTATTATAGTGTCTATAATTTAAGAAAAAAAAAATCAAATTCACAAATATCGTACAAATACTATTATTTCTCTTATTAAATTGCGCATCTATTTTTGAACTCTTTTTTTTCCTCTCTCTTCTATCGTTTTGGTTATCGTATTTGCACGATTAAATTGAATTTAAATTTTTTTTACTTTATATGGCCAGAGTTTTTTTTTTTTTTTTTTTTTTTAAATTCTATTAACGTAGCTTTCACGAAGTAGAGCGACGCAATATTTTCTCTGATCATCTTGCTGCGCTGGCGCTTATTGGCGGCTGACAATACTTCACTGCTCCAATTTAACTGGAAAAAAATTGTAAAAGAAAAAAGATTAATAATTGAATTGAATTTTTTATTTTTTTATTTCGTCTGTTATCCAAAAAAAAAAAACTCCATAAAAAAAAATGATTTACTTTAGACATTCTCTGTCAAAAATTTAATGTTGAAAATCGAAAATGATTTCAACAATATATTTTATAAATTGTTTACATAAAAAAAAACACTATCTTTTAATAGGGGAAGCTATTAATAGATAAACTATTATTTAAAACTAGCTTTTTATATTTTATTGTATTTAAATTTTGTTCAATTTAACAAGGACCAAATTAACTATATATATTTAAAACTAAATATATTTTCTTCTAATAAAACAAACAAATGTGTTTACGTTTTTGCAGTTTAATATTAATTATTGTTACAAAAAAAAATGAATATTATTTCCATATCTGTAGAATCTGATAATAATTAGAAAAAAAATGTCCGATCAGACAATTTTTATTCTTAAAGTAATTAGAGGAAAAAGTATAATTTTTCTTAATTTTAACAAAAAAAGAAATTTATAAGACCTCGGAAAAATTCAAAGTTGAAGAAATCGTAGATTATTTTTTTTCAAACTAATTCGCTCTAGAGACAGAAATAAAAATTTTTTAAACAATTAAAATCTGAGGAAAATACAAAAGTAAAATAAAATATTTGTCACCTATTTAAATTTACGTTGGCGTTAATTTAAAAAAATAATAATAATAATCGATGATTAATTATGAATTTTTTTCGAGACCTCAATTTTTGAACACTCTAATACATAAAAAAAAATTATTAGGAGAAAATTGAAATTAAATAAATTAAATTAAATAACTGATAAATTTAAAGAAAATTAAAGGCTCAAAAAATATTAAAACATTTTAGGAATAAAAAATAGTATTTTTTTTTAAATCTTCTCAAATACAAGTAGAAAAATTAAATTTTATTTCACTAAAATTTAAATTGGATTATTTGCAAAAGTATTTTGCAAAAAAAAAATAATAATTAGGATAATATTCAAAACTACATTTTCTTGTTAAAAAATTTTTTTTATGTACAGAATTAATTTTTTAATGAAAATTTGCAGAAAAAAAATTGAAAATTTGAAAATTTGTAAATGCAGATGATTATGATTAATATAAGATAAGATAATTAAATTTTCGGTAGTCGATAATATCGATAAATAAATAAATAAATAAATAATAGATAATATCGAGATAAATTATTTGCAAATCACTAGTTTAACTAGTTGAAAAAAGTGTTGCTGTTTATTTTTATTAACAAAAAAAAAAAAAGATAATATTCTATTAAAAAAAAATTCACTGCACTCCATAAAAGTAACATGACAAATTACAAAAATTCGTCTTCATTTTTAATGAGGATGATGACTAAAACTTAAAATCTAACTTTTTCATCCTACAATTCAATTTTCATAAAACTCTATATTGTATACGTATACAATTTAATTAAATAATAACATATCGATGAAAATTCCATGGCAGAAAAAATATCAGATCTAAATTTTCAATCTATTGATATTAAATCTAAAATACTGTTGGAAATTTTTTAAATTTAATTTCTATCTCGTTTTCATTATTGTAAAAATTTGGTCATAAAAGTTTTTTATTTTATTAATATTTTTTCAGTTTTTTTCTTTAATTTTGTACTTTATTATTATTATTATTTATTTTTTTTCACAAAAAAAAGTTGTGTAAACTATGTAAATAAAAAATTATAAAATATTAAAAATATTACAATAACTTTTTTCAATTTATTTATTTTTTTTTTAATAATTTATAATTAATTATTTATTTGATTTATAGTTATTATCTGAAATTTTTTTAATAATTATTTTTAAATTCACATTTCTAGAGATTAATTGAATCCATGTTCAGATTTGCAATATAGCAATAAGACAAATATATTTTTTTCGATCTATATAGTATAGCGAAAGCATGTCAAGGAATGAAGTGACGAGAAAAATAATATTGTAAATCAATTGCAGTATAAGCTATAACAATGATACAACAAAAATAATTCTCGGACATCAACATACCGATAATAAATGAGATAAAAATGACTAATTAAATGCATCTATGATATTTAATAGAAAAGAAAAAAATAATTCGAAGCAAGCATCTAAAAGTTTACCTGTTTTTTTTTTTTTTTTTTTATTTAATAAGGCTTGCACAGCTTAAAAAAAATGTAATTCGATATAAAAATTATTTATTTCCTTTCTCTTGAAATAAAAAAAAAAAAAAAAAAAATTCAATTAAAAAATTTGAAAATGTAACAAAATGTTACTTAAAGAAAAACGAAAATGTCAATCATTGTCTTTGACTTCATCTAATTTGCACTATTCTAATTACCCAGATAATTTATAATTAATTTTCTAATATATATATAAATAATTTTGAAAATATTAAGCGAAAGGTTACAAAAAGATGTAAAAAAAATTTGTTTCAATTATAATTTTACACGGTCAAAAAATTTGCCTAGAGAATCTACATTTTTATTTCATAAATAAATTTTTCAGCGCAGTAAAAATTAAAATTATTACAAATGAAATAAATAAAAAAAAAATTAATTTTCATAGAAATTCTTTTTTAAGTTGGTATTTGAAATAAATCTCGAACGAAAAGTATGAATTTTATTTATTCAAGTATATAATTATTTTAATTATTAATTTATTTTATGATTATTTATTTTTTTTTATTCTTTATTTATTATTATTTTTACCTAATAAGCCTAAAGTTCTGAACGTTTAAATGAACGAAAAAATTTCTACTTTTTAACTTTAAATTTTATTATAAAAATATTTTCTGTATTCAAAAATAAATTAATAATTTAATTTTTTATTTTTCATTGACATAGAAATTTTTAAAAAAATTTCTAGAACAAAAAAATGAACATTCAAAACTTTAGGCATATTTTATTTACCTAATTTGATTTTTAATTAATTATAATAATAATTTCATCAATTTAATTTATTACGTTGTGTATATTATATTAAGCAATAAATGAAAATTTAATTAACGATCACTTTTTAAATTTTTTTTGAAGATTGTAAAATTATTTGAAATATTTTTAATATCATAAATTTGAGAACAGTGCAAATTGGACGAGAAAGCTGTGAATGCCTGTCACACACGTCTCTTTTTTGAGACACATTAATTATTATTATTATTATTATTATTATTATTATGTCATTCCGCATTCACAATTGGAAGAACATTCCTTATTGTTTCCCAATAAAAAAGAGCTAATCATATAAGGAAAAACTAATCAAAACTATAAGTAAAATAAGTGGTAATATATAAATGTATATGATTATCATTTAATCGTGCAGTATTACAACGGCAACAACTTAGGATTATTGTGCGACTCACCGCATCTAAATGTTGTTCCAATTGTGTACAGTTTCTTACGATCATTGGTATCGCATTCTACTTTTTGGCTTTTCTAAAAATATGATAAATGCAAATATGATCGAATGTGTTGTGATAGATGTATTTTGCAAGCTCTAGTTATTTTTTTTTTCTTTCTTTTTTTCTGTATTAAATAAAAATGTAGGATATTTATGAAATGAAAACTAAACCATAGAATTCAATTTCATGTATAAATAGATATTAAAAAATAAAAAAAAATTAACATCAGTTTTTACATTGTTTGCTTATTATTCGTATAAGCCAAATACTAATTTTGAAAAAAGAAATTTTTTTATGCACTAAAAACGCTGAACTACAAATGATTTATTGTCCTACACAACTAAGAAAACGATTTAAACAATAATAATTGATGAAAAATGGAATGAGAACATGATTCGCATGACATTTGCTTTTCTCATCATGCGATTATTCTACTTTGAATTGTAGAAAGAGTAAGTAAAAGAATAAAGATGTAACTTGCAAAAAAGTGTTTTCAAAAATAATAATAAGTAGATTTAAATCTACTGAAAGATAGATTTTCTTAAATTTGTCAAATTGGTTCATTAGGCATTTTTTATGTCCAAAAAGTTAGCAATACCATTCGATTTTTCAAAAAAAAAAAAAAATTTTTGTGACAATTTGTGTTACTTTTTTTCGAAGTGCTACAAAATTGTTTAAAAAAAATGATAATTAAGAATTTCAAAAAAGAAAACATTTTAAAAATGAAAAATGCTACTTATATGTAATTGTTTTTTTTTTTTTTTTTTTTTTTTTTAAATAATAATATTTTAATATATTCGGGTTAGAAGAAAAACTATTTTTGAATTTAAAAATTGAATTATTTTAGGGAATTTAAAATTTTTATAAAATTTTCATTACAAAATTTTGTTATCGAAAAATAATAATTTTTGAATATTTTTGGGTCAAAAAAACTATTTTTGGATTTGGAAATTGAATTATTTTGAAAAATTTTGTAGTCTTAGAAAATGTTACAATAGATTTTTTTTTGTGCTGAGCAAATACATTTCAGCATAAAATTTGTTTTTAAAAAATAATAATATTTGAAGGTTTTTGGATTAGAAGAAAATCTATTTTTGGATTTACAAATTGAATTATTTTAAACAATTTTCAAATTTTTATGCATTTTCATTACAAAATTTTTATTCTCAAAAAATAATAATTTTGAATATTTAAAAATCGTTTTGTGGAATTCAAATTTGAACTATTTTGAATAATTTATTATTAAAAATTTTGAAAAATGTAAGTTTTTTTTTTTGCTATTGCGTATAATTATTTCTTTTCAATTACAAACAAGTGGCATTCTTGATCAGTGAAATGTTTTTTTTTTTTTCTAATTGAAATTTGAGTCCTAATTATAGATTTTTCAAAAAAATGTTTGCAGCATAAATTAGCACAAAAAATTATTCTTTTGAAAAAAATTGTCGTTGCTAACTTCTTAGAGGCACATTTTTTTCACACTCAAAATATAAAGAAATAAATGTAATAATATTGTTTTTATACAAAAGATAAGTTTTCTCAGAAACAATTTTTAATAGTAAATAGATAATTTCTTCTTTCGCCATAAATCAAATATATATCATTTTTTATATTATAATAAAATTTAAAGTTAATTAATTATTTAATTAGGTTTTTCATGCAACCGTATATTTGTCTTTAATCTTTCTATAACTAATTTAGTCTACAAAAGAGCCGAAAAAAGCTACTGCCAATAAAAATGGAAATATTTTTTACCTTTTCTGATTATTCTCGAATTATTATTATTAGTCTTAAAATCAGCATAGAAGATCGCAAATTTACTGAGATAATACAATAACATTTTAAATAGAATATTTATTAAATAACGAAATTGTATTAATGAAATATAAATTCTATTTGCATTTATTGCTCAATTCACAGCGTAATTGACAAATTATTTTTAAATATAATCGCGTCAGATTTATTTCAAAAAACAAATTTAATTCTATATAACATTATACCTGAGAAAATTCGTCAGAAATTCGCTATAAATAAATAAATAAAAATTAACCATAAATTACGGTAAATTGGTCAATTTTAGTTCATTAGTTTATAAAATAATGGAACGTTGATGATCAACGAACTTTAAATGTTCTTTTTTGTGATTAAAAAATTTTATGAACTTTCACCTGAGAAACATATTTTTTGCAATGTTTTCTGATAAAAAATTCTTTAAACAAACTTTTTTTTTTGATTTTTCATCTTAAAAAGAATTTTTTTTTTAGATTTTGGATTATAAAAGTTAAAAATTTCACCGGCATTATAGGAGAACTTTTAAATTCTCTTTTTCATGTCATTGAAAGTATCCTCTTTTCTTTTTTGTAAAAAAAAAAAAAAAAAAGTCAATTAACTTATAATAACTCCAGTAATGTAATGAATAATAAAATAAAATGTATAATTACTTTTTCTTGAGAGTGAAGAAGCTTCGCCGCTTAGTTTCGGCTTGCGTTGGTGCGGGCAGTGTGTGTGCTCTGGATGAACTTGCACCTGATGTACCCTGTGAGGCTTGATTTAATGCCGCAACCCACTCTTGCATCTCTGTATCATCTTTGGCCTGGAACAGGAAGTCGGCGCCATTCTGCGTCCTACAATAATAAATAATTTTAATAAAAATATAATTTCTTTACTATCGTCAACGGTGGTGATTATGGAACGTCAGGGGTAAATATGAAACGCATAATTCTTTTTTATGTAATATTTTACTGCCAGATATAATTTATTTGAATAAAAATTCAATTATTGTCTAAAGTTTTTAAAAAAAATTTCACCAATTCAAAATAAAAGTTTCAATTAATAATCTCCTGAAATTCAATTATTATTTCTAAAAATTTTAAATCTTCTAAAATAAAATTTTTTTAAATTTTGTATCTAAAATTCCTTGTTGAATAATTTAATATTTTAATAATTTTAATCAAGATTTTCAAAAATTTAATTTTTTAAAACATTTTTCAATTGAAAATTCTCTATAATTCAATTATTTCTAAAAATTTTATTTAAAATTCTTAAATTAATTTTTTTAAATTAGGTACTTCAATTATAAATAATCTAAAATTCCATTATTCTTTAAAGTTTGTAATAAAAAATTTTTATCAATTAAAATTTATAAAAGTTTCAATTTAAAACCTTCTGAAATATAATTACTTTCAAAAAAAATTTTAACTCGAACTCTTCCAAATTCAATTAGTAATTGAATAATTAATTGAATGTTAATTCAATTAAAAATTTTTTTCCCAAATTTTTATCTATATAATTCTTTGTTTAATTAATTATTTTTAATTTTTTTTTTTCAATAATATTTTAAGAAATTCTTCGAAAATTTAATTATTTAAAACAATTTTTGGAAATTCTGAATTCGAATAATATGCATAAATCAAACTTGAAAAATTTTCATTTTTTTTTTTAATGTAACTTTAAATTTTTTTTTCAAAATTTGTTCTGAATCTTGAAAATTTGTCTCAGTTTAATTAAGTGGTTTAACTTTAAAAAGAAAAATTCTTGAAAACATTTCTGTGAAACATTCTTATTAATAAAAAATTAATAAATTTTATTTAATTTCTAATAACAAATTGTTAATAATAATAATAATAAAATATTTATCAACTAATTAAATTTATTGAAAATAGAAAAATGGACTTTTTATACTTTTCTTGTAATTTTAAATCGACTAAAATGACTTATTTTTTCTTTCAAAAGTCGAGCCGAGGCCTACAATTATAAAAATCTAAGATAATAATTTTTAGAAACAAAAGTTTGAATTGAATATTTCAAAAATTATAATTTTAGTAGCATTTTTAAAAATTTGATATTTTTCCAGTACTTTTTATAAAATTCCCTGACTTTTCCCTGACCCGTGGCAACCCTGAATTAATTAATTTTTAATTTTATTTTGTAAAATAAGTTGTGAAAAATGTCGCACAATCCGAGGCCTAATTAAAAAAAATTGAAGAAATAAGTATTTAAAAGTATTTTCGTATTAGTGGATCATGATTTTTGAGCTTATAAGAAAATTTAAAAATTTTTATAATTATAAATTATTTCTCTTGAAACTTACTTTACTCGGAAGACATGCTTCTTTTTAGTATAATCGCTAGCTACAATAATGGTAGCTCCTCGTAGATCTAACGAAGCTTCTCCTTTATGGGGTTGATCAGGAGCGGATTTATATGATTTTTGATCCTTATAAGCAACCAAATTTTGTCCTCGTATAACCATATAAACTTTATCCCAGGATCGATTAGATGCCTTCTTCGTGGTGCTTTCCCATTCATGTTTTCTCACCAGTATTCCTTCGAATTCATCACCAGTTGGACTTCTTTGTTCTGTGAAGAAAAATTTTCCTCTTATTAAAAAAAAAACAAATAATGAATAAAAATAATAAAATTCTAAATAAAAAAAAAAAAAGTGCAAATAGTGAATTTTTTTTCAGCATTAATGTATGTGCAATTGTGAGAGAGTGAAACACTTTTTTTGTTTTCTTCATATATGAAAACTAAAATAATATCGCTAATAATAATATCGAATATATTTAATGTTAATACAACAATATTAATCAACAATATCTATGAATATGTTAACATAATATTTAATCTAGGTTGAAATTAAAAAATAATTCAACTAAATTCGAATTTAAAAATAAAAATTTATTCTTAAGTAAACGTAAAATTTTATTCTCAATTAACAAAAAATAAAATTTTAGTTTAAACTTAAAAATAATTTAATTTCAATTTGAAAATTTCAAATTGACTTTAAAAAAATATAAAATAAAAAATTTCTCCTTTGTATTTAATATAAAAATTTGTAATTTAAAATCAGTGATTTCAAATTCTTGATGAAGATCTCCTATTCTGAAAATATGATTATTAGTAAAAACAGATGATTATTCGAAAATGGTCCATTCAGCAAGCTTGTGATAAATCTGTAATTATTAGTTTTAAGAGAAAATAAATAAAACATGATCCGATCCATTTTTTTTTTTTTTTGAAGATATCTTTGCATTCGATTTCTGTAATATGAAAAATATGAATTTAGTAAAAGCCAGGGATGATAAACGCTTACCAGAAAAGCCGTGCTCATCATCGCTCACACCACTGCGATCTAAGCTTGGTGACTTAGCTGTTTTTTTCCAACGGAAGCTGCGGAATGGTGATTTGCTGCGACTTCGTTCCTTACGTCTCAACGTACTAGACTCAGATCCAATTCCAGTTTTTGGAGCTTTATGAGATGACAACACATATTGAAATGATTTACTAAAGCGTTACTACTTACTTTTATATCTCTAGATCATGAATTTTGGAGTTTTTTTTTTTTTTTTTTTAATATCGAAAAAAATTCTCTTATTTTTTTTTTTATTAATATGACATTGACTCATTCTATTACAAACTTGCAAAATCTATTCATGCCACATGCTCATGCAAATGGATAATTATACATATAACTACTTTTACAATATTACTGACTGTTAACAATTACATCAATATTAAAATCAACAAAATGTAAAAAAGGATAAAATGTTTGTATACACATAAAAACTAATTAAACTGCATCCTTGAATATTTTTCAAAATAGATTTTTTTAATTTTTACTATAAACATTTTTAAAAAAAATTTTTATAGAATTTATTTTTATAAATTTTTTTCTTTATCGTAAAAATTTTTATTGATTTTAAAACAATTTTTTTTGGACATTATATTTTTTAAAAAACAAGAATTTTACTTCTCACATAATAACAAATATTTTTCAAAAATATTCAAACCAATTTTGGGAAAAAATAAAAATTTTGAATAACCTCTTTCAATTGTTTTTTTTTTTAATGAATTTCTAACCTTTTTGAAAGGGAAATTTTTTTTACTTTATTTTTATCATAAAAAAAAGGTTGAAAATTAAAAATGTCTGAAAAAAATAGCATCTGTTGTGATGAAGAATTTTCTACAGATTTTTCTACTAACATTAAAGTACAAAAAGTACCTTTATTACTTAAACAAGTCCCTAAATGGTCTGGTATAGCAGTAAAAGATGCTCAAATGTATCAAATTTCAATGCAAGATTTTAAGGACAAATATCTAATTCTTCTATTTTATCCTTGTGATTTTACCTTTATTTGTCCATCAGAATTAATTCAATTTAGTGATCGAATAGAAGAATTCAGAAATATTGGTAAAAAATATAATTATTTTTTTTTTCTTCCTTAAATTTTTCTTTTATAAAAAAAAAAAAAAAAACAATTTTTTAATTATTTTAAATTACCAAGTAATTCCTATAGTTATTTATTAAAATTAATTACAAAAAAAATGTTTTAATTATTAAATTATTAAATAAATGTTAATAAATGAAATTTCAAGGAGCAGAAATTGTTGCAATTTCAACAGACTCGAAATTTGCACATTTTGTATGGACAACAACTCCACGTAAACAAGGTGGAATTGGAGAAATTAATATTCCACTATTGGCGGATAAAAATCAAAGAATTTCAAAAGATTATGGAGTTTTAGATGAAAATTTAGGAACACCATTGGGAGCTCTATTTATAATTGATAATAAACAAATTTTACGACACATTACAATAAATGATCCAGCAATTCCACGATCAGTGGATGAGGTATTGCGTGTAATTAAAAATTCACAATTTATTGATAAACACGGTGAAATATGCCCGATGGGAATAAAGGAAAAATCACATTTACCAATTAATGATAATCGTCAAGATTTTTTTCAAATTTAAATTCCAATTTTCAATTAAAATTAAAATTAATAAAGAAAATATTTAATATCCAATTCTAAATGAAAATTTTAAAATTGTAAATTTACTATTAAATTTATATTAAATATAATTAAATTCAATCTAATAATTCTTTTTTTAAGACGATTCAATCACTTGAAATAATCTTAAATTAAAAATTGGTTATTAGCAAATAAAAATATGATTAAAATTAATTTCACTAAATTTTGAAAGATCTACAATAAAAAAAAATTATTTTGAGCTAAAATTTCTTGTCAAAATAATTACATAGTTAATATTTTGTCTTTTTTTTTGTTTAAAGTTAGTGAATAATATTGTAATTTTTAACCAATTTTTACAAAACGAAAGTTTATTTTGCTCTTGGGAAAGATTATTATCGATAATTCTAATTATTTGTTGGTTTTTGTTAAATAATATTTGGTTTTAAACAAAATTTAATTCTTTCGAAAAAATAAATAAAAAAAAAAAAATTTTTTAAATATAAAACCGCCAAAAATTATATTTTTTCAATTCGTAAATTCTTTTAAAATTGAATTTTTCCACAATTTTTAATATTTTTCATCGACAATTTTTTTTTAGACTTTTCTTATGATTTTGAACAATTAATTGTAAAGATTTTAAAATTTTCTCAAAAAATAAAATTTCTAAAATAGACAAAAAAATTTATTTTTTAAAATTTAATAACGTAAAACATTTTTAGATCCTAAATAATTTCAGGAAAAAAAAAAAATTGTTGCCTAAAACAAAAAAAAATTCAATACCTTAATATTTCAGCGGTACTTCCCTCTAAAATAATTATTATTTAACAATAAATTTTGACTGAAAATAATTTTTTTTTTTTTGAAAATTGTACAACTACAAAATTCCAAATTTTAATTATAGTTTAATTTGTTATTAAAAACAAATTTTTGTTTGAGGTTGTGTTCATGGTTCTAAATTATATTTTTCTTGAATATCGAATGGAAAGAAGAATTATATTTTTAAAAAAATGTTTTTCTTTTTGTCGAAACGATTTTTGTTGATTTTGACACTTACTTGAAGGAGCCGAAGAAATTCGTTGTTTTAATATGGTCGGAGTGCGGGGGTGCTTTTCTTCGTCCATAGGAGTAATTCTCGTGCCCTTCAGACCATGCACTACGTCATACCAATTATTAACATGCGATTTGCTCAAATAATATATACATATATAATTAATTTACTACATCAATTAATTACGAAATTATTCAATCTACAACTATACCCATTACATATTAAAGCAGATTTGAAGGAAAATTCTCAATATTTAATTTGGTAATGAATATTTCATAATTTTTAAAAATAAAAACAAACAAAAAAAAATTATTTCAGGTTTATCTACTTTAAAGACAAGCATTAAGGATGAATTGAACAAACAATCAAATAATTCAATATTCCAATTTCACATTTTCGTATTTTAAAATATGAAAACAATTTTTAATTAAAAATGTTTTTCAATAAAAAAATTTCATCGAATTTCAATAAAACGATGATTTTATTTTGTTCTTTGAAGAAAGCAATCTTATTAACAATATTTTAAATAATAAATAATTGAATTTTTAAAAACTCTTTCAATTTCCAAGAAGAATATTTCGATTTTTTTTTTTTTTTTTTAATTAAAACTTGAGGTTTTTTATTTCGATTTTTTGTCTACTTTGACGTTCAAAATTTTGTTGAAAAATCAAATAATTAAAAAGATTTTAGACATTCCAAAGGAAAATGAAAATTTTAGAAAAACTTCGAAAATTTTGTACCGTTTGTAACAATAAATAAATTTTAGGTCTGTCAACACTTTTACTTTTAAAATATAATTTTTTTTTTTCATTTAAAAATTCGAAAATAGGAAATTGAACTAACTTTTGTTTTCATTGTTTATTCGATTCTTCTTTAAAATCACTTTGTGATTACCTTAATAGTAAATGGTTTTCCAAAATCAAAAAATTACTGTTTTTGCATCTACAACTTTAATTTAAACTTGAATTTTAATTTCCAAAAATTGTTAAATTTTCAATTTTTTAATTTTACTATTTTTTTTATTATTTCCATTATTTAATTTTTAATTTATCAAACAGAATAAATCCTTTTATTATTATCCAATTTTTAGTCAAATGAAAACTAATCAATGAAAAAGTAGAATTTAATGAAAATGATAAAATGTTTAATAATAATTTTAAGAGACAATTAATCACAATATGAAATGAATTGAATGTAAGGAGATATTTAATACAATTAAATGAATATAATTAATAAATTAAAATATTGTAAAAAAAATAATAATTAATGTATAGTTAATTACTTTTTTAACATGCCAGCTTACCTTATTTAATGAAATTTTCTTTTTAATTTCTAACAAATAATTTAATAATATAGAAAATCTCACCTTTGGAAATTATTCTTAATCTCGAGAAATTAATAAAAAATTATATTATATTTCGATTTTTAATGAAATAGTTAAAAATATTAAATTATCTCTCTCTCTCTATTGTAATAATAAATAAGACATGAAAATGAAAAATTTGAATAGCACCATCACCTGAGAAAAAGCAGAAATTCGTTGCAAATCGTCTGAAATATATATCTATATAAAATAATTGAAGCAAAATGTATAAAATGCAGATTAAAGTAATATATTATACAATCAGCTTTTCAATGACGGATCCAAGATTTTCCACCACCAGAATGATAAAAAATTGTTTCATCTTGAATTCCACAAGAGATGCTAAGAGAATGATGAAAAAGTTTAATAAAATTTTTTATTATGAAATTATCAAAGGAACGAAAGAAAATGATGGAATTGGTTAAATAATGAATATAGGATAATAATAATAAAAAAAAAGAAAAATATTTTCACAAATGATTAAAAATTAAAAATAATCATTTGAGAGCGATTTTCTTTTCTTTTTTTTTTTTTGAATAATTGGCAATGCGATCAAACTTTGGCGTCGTACACTCACCTTCCTTAGGTTTTTCTTGCAGTTGCGGTGTTCGTGTAGAAGCCTTGCGGAGTGCCGCTGCAGTTTGTGCATTCCGTGCCGCATTTAGGTGCAATTTTTTTTTTTTTTTTTTTTAATAACAGGATGAGGATTCAATGGACAAATTTAGGAAAGAGTCAAATTTATGGAACAAGGAATAGAAAAAGAGGAGAAAGAACAAACGTGCTGTTAGCGAGTCATGCTTATTCAGTTATTATAAATTATCAATGAAATTAGATGAAAAAGAATGAATTCTTACATTAACATCTAAATTTCATTGTAAAAATATTTTCCATACAAATCTAACTGTTAACAACTAAATTCCCATATTTTTTTTTTACATTTCACCTCTCAAAATACTGTAACCCAGTTTGTAAAATGAAGCTCTTTGAAAAATTAATTTTGATATCGAAAATATCTCAATTTCAATGTTATTTGTCCCTGACACTTGGATTATTTTACTTCTCAATTGAAACACAAAATATTGATTTTATATATGAATAGTATTAATTTAACGGATATTTTTAAAATTGACAAACATTTATTTTCTTTCCAAATTAAGAAATTTTCTTTTACTTTCCTGGAAAGGCAAAAAAATTACAAGTTTTTCGGAATTTTTTTTCTTTTTCGAAAAAGTAAAAATAGAATGAGAAAATAAAATATTCTTTTTTTGTAAGTAATTATTTCAATTTAAAGAAGAAAATATTAAATTCAAATAATAAACAAATATTTATGTTAATACATTTTAGTTGAAGTTATTAAAATCCAATGATTTTTTTTGTGATTTAGTGAATAAAAAAAATTAATATACCATGTTTGGTGAGCAATTTTTAGAAATTTGATTTTATTGTTTAAAATAAACTTACCATGTCCATCGTCCTCTCCTCGTCCACTGGCAACTCCGTCAGCTTCAGCTCTAAATGAACAAAAAAAAAATACAGTTTTTATAAACACGAAGAAAACATTAAAGAAATACAAAGAAAACATTAATTATTATTAACTATAGAAATTAATATTTTTATCAATTCTGCCGTACGAAATAAAAACTTACTTAACTCATATTTTCGTGAAACCGAGAAAATGATGAAAGACTGTTTGTCTTAAAAAACCTAATATAATATAAATAATTCTTTAATCTAACTTCACTTTCTAGGTAAATAAATAGAGTTCTTTCTAAATCCGTTGTCAAAAATTGATTATTTAAACAAATTATATTAAATAATTGAGATAAGTGTTTTTTTACACAAGCAAAACTTAGTTAACTCGAGTTAAGGAGTGCTTTCCGAAAAGGTAGGCGAGTTCGAGCCGCCGCTCAGAAGTAAAAACTCACCTAACTCAAGCTAGCACGCGAGGTGGGGGAATAAATACACATTATAAAAAATTTGTTTTTGAGTTAAATTTTATTCTGATTGTGATTAACAAAGATTATTTTTATTATTTTTAATTTATATATTTTTTTATTATTTTATTATTTATTAATATTTTTTTAAAAATTAAATTTTAATCAACATGTTTCAGTATAAAATTTATTACAATTAAAAATGTGTAGAAGGATTGTATGAAAAAACGGCGTTATTAGTGGAAAAACATTGATTATATTTGCTTATAATATTCAAATAACTTACAACAGCTGTTTATAATTACTACAACAGTCTTTATATAATAATCAACAGTAAAAAACTATTAATTAAACTTTTTAAAAGTAAAAAAAATCAAAGAAAATTTTGTATTTTTTTCGTTTATTTTTTCACTTATTCACTTATTTATTTTTTTCTAAAGTAAACTTTTTCTAAAAAGCCGGTGCATTATTTGCAAGAATAACAAACCGGCATGATCATAGCACGCGAGATTCCGAACCAACCCGACGAGAAACCGAAGTTAAACGATGTTGAGTTGAGGAGTTTGCTTTCGAAACACAGGGTCTAGCTCACGCCACTTTTCGAAATAAATACTCACTTAACTCGAGTTAAGGTTTTCGTTTCGAAACTATGCATGAAATTCGACTACGTTTTTGACAGCAAAAATACTCAACTCGAGTTGACTGAGTTTTTGTTTCTTATATCATGCTCGAGCTACGACTTTCGGACTCCTTAACTCGAGTTAGCATACTTTTTATGTAGTATTTCTTCATTTTCTGGGTTTTCGACAATTTTTTATAATTATTTTTTTGCAATAAATAATTAAATAAAAATTTTTTAATAATACCATCAGACGCGTTTTTTTATTACGAATCCATTGATACCAAAAACTCATTTTTCGCCAAAATATGAGTTAACTAAGTTTTTACTTCGTACGGCAGAATTATATAATTAAAATTATCAAATTGTCAATTAAATAGAAATTTGATCAAAGCTTTTTTTAATTTAAATTACCGTTCACTCGTTGGTTCATCAGGACTAGTAACAGGAGTTGCTTTAGCTAGACGAGCAGCTTCTGCAGCCGCTGCTTCTTCCTTCTTACGCCTCTCCTCTTCTTCTCTCTCATGTTCTCGTCTCTTCAATTCTTTCAATTCAAACTGTAAAAAAAATTGATTACATTTTCAAGAATTAAACAAAATAAAAATTAAATAAAAAAAAACAAAAATAAAAGAAAGTTCAATTCAAAAAATTGTATATTTCTTATTTTTTAATTTCCATTTTAATTATTATATGTAAGTTTGATTATTATTAAATAAAATAATGTTATTTTGTAATTAAATTATTTTTAAGTTCATATCTTTGTAAACCTAATTATGTATTTTTAAAACTCAAATTTTTTTTATACAATCGAAACAGAGATCGAAACAACTTCATATTTTTTGGATTATTTTAAAAATAAAATACAATTTAAAAATTTTAAATTATAAAATTTTTAATTTTTATTTTTTTATAATTCAAAATTGTTCCAGAACCAAAATTTTTTTTTTTAAATTGTCTTTTAATCTCAGAAATTTTCCTCTTTATTCAATGGCAACTTTAAATCGTTTAAAAGCGAAAAATTAAATTCTAATTATATTTTCACTGAAACACTTTTTAATTATTATAATAATTTTTGAATTAAAAATACGAAAATACAAAGTTGGAGTAACATTTGTTTTGAAAAATTTTAATTTTTCCACAAAACTTTCAACGACAAAGTAGACAAAAAAAATTAGTATCATTCATTTACGAGAAAAAGTTTAAAATGAATTTATGGTTTTTTCAAGGTATAACTAAATTCACGTTTTATTTTCTCAGTTTTCAAGATTTTAAAATCGAATAATTTTGAATTATTAGGAAAAAAATTTTATCTTTAAATAAATAAATAAAATAAATAATTAAAATTATTATTTTATAATAATATTTACCGTTGTTAATCGCTCCAAAGCACTGAACCTTTCTTCTTGAGCAGCTGCTGATTTTTCAAACGCCTCGTGCTTCTTAATCAAATTTTCTACTTCGTCAATAGTGTGCTGTTCAAATAAAATTAAGAGCATTAGATACTTGAGAAAAAAATGTCATAGGTATTTAATTATTTTAATTTGCAAATTAAAAAAGAAAAAAAAAACACTTACGCCAAGTTCTTGGCTCATAAGATACGGCTCTTGAGCAATTAACCATGCTTCAGCAACCGCAGCATCTCTTGCGAATTGGTACACTTCCAAAACTAAAAAAAGGAAATTTTATTAAATACAAGAAAACATTTTTTTTTAATTTTATCAAACTTTAGAAAATATTTTAAATTAAAAAAAAAAACTATAAAAAAAAGAATTTCATTAAATACAAGAAAACGTTTTTATATCTCAGCAATAAGAAATTATTTTAAATAGAAAAATTTGGAATTTAAATTTAAAATCCCACAAAATTAATTGAATATTAATTTAAATTTATAATTCTTAAAGAAATAAAAAATTAACTTATTTTTACTATGTGCAAAAATAATTTTTGAATCAAAACAAAAAATTCGATTCGAATTGAAAAAAATGTAAATTACAAAAAGAATTTCTAGAAAAAAAAAATGAAGGAAAAATTCTAAATGAAAAACTTACTGAGTTGTAAATTTTCCCAACGTTCCTCCCATCGTTGTAATAGTGCAATTCTATGATCATTGAGCGATGACAATTTCTCTTCGATTTGTGAACTGGCATAATGATCACGTGACAAAAGTGCTTTTCCAAGTTTAATACAAGAAATAAAATTATCCTCTCGCGTATCAATTTCAGCCTTTAAACTTTGATGATTATTCATAAGTAATTCAACACCAGAAACATCTCTTGGCTTCTCCGATGTATTCATTTGTCGTACAACATCATCCATCCAAATCATAAGTGTTCTCACCATATTAAAGAATCTAAACAAATCGCCAGTATCCTCTAATTTTCCCTTTCTTCCCTCGCACAACGATTGAAGATTATTCCAAGCCGCCACAACTTCGGCCTCACGATTTGTTATTTCTTTTGCCTTATCACCAGCATAACTTGCTTGTAATTTTGCTGATTCCTCCTGTATTTGTGAGACTTGACTCTGAAGTGTTGATAAATCTTGAATGAAATTTGTATGTTTTCGTTGTAAAGCCGACACTGAACCAGCATCACGTCCCAATTCATCGGACATGGCATTTTGTTTCTCCAAAATTCTACCAAGCACATCTTTACAATCGTGGAAGAATTTATGTAGCTCACGACTCGCCGCCAACATTTGTGTACGTGTTTCAATTAATTCAAGTAAATCCTGCCACACTTCATTTAATCCATCTTTCCATTCGGCAATTGTTGCCGCATCAGAATGTGCCTTTGCAATTAATGAATCGGCAATATCATTAACAGCCGCCACTCTCTCTGTACCAATTGATTCTGTATCGCGTGCAAACTCCTTAAATCTCTCCCACAATAATGTAACATGATCATAATCCTGTCCCAATTCATGACTACCGGCAACCAATTCTCTTTCAGCAATCCATTGCTCCAAATCGTCAACTTCACGATTCAACATAAACAATTGAAGTGCTTCGTCCAATTTTGCTCGTCGTTCACCAGCTAAATCTTTCAATCCAGCGTATAATTTATCAACTTGCGATTGTTTCACTGCTATTTGATCGGCCAATGGATGTTGATCATTGGTGAGTTGTCTTGCTGTTTCACCTAATTGACGAATAGTCTCAGCATAATCCTCAACAACATGTTCCAATGATTCGTGTTTCTTCATTAAATTTTGCGCTGAAATTTCATCTTTACCACGATCATCCACCATCATGTATAATTCCTGTTCGCTCATCCATGATTCAGCTTCCGTTGCATCGAAGAAATATTGTTGTGCCTTTTCATTTTGCAATAAATGACTATTTCTTTGATCGACAGCATCCTTTAATTCCTGCCATTTTTCATTTAATTCAAAGATTAATCTCTCAAAAACTGGCGTATCCTCATGTCCTTCACTAATCAATTTCTGTCCATTATTACAAACCAAATTAATTCTAAGTTCATGATGTTCAATTTCAGTGCGCAATGATTGATTCTTCTTTTTCAGCATATGAACATTAAACAATGAATTTCCACACTCCAAACTTGTTGCCTGTGGCATTTTTTCAGCAATCCATAATTTTTCATCCTCCACATCACGTTTAAATTGGAATGCTTCTTTATTCTTTTCAAGTTGTCGTTGACGATCAACTAATGGTGCCTTGAGCTGTTCAAATCTCTGAGCAACTTTTTCCTTCTTTACTTTAATTTCTTCCATTTTCTCCTCGGGCACTGTTCGTTGTAAATGATCAGTCTGTTTATCCAATTCGGAAACTTGTCGAGCCTTAACTGCCATTTGTGTTTCAATCATCTGTTGTTTCTGCATCAAAATATTCACCGACGCCAAATCAGAACCAGTATCAGTGCTCTCTATCTGTTTCTCCAATTCGTTCATCCATGAATCAATATCGTCACAAGTTTGATGTATCAATACCTCACGATTAGCGTCAAATAATCTCTCACCTTTATCATGTGTCGTAACTTCAAGTTCCTCAAATGAATCCGCAAGTTCAGTGACTTTTGGTCCAATAATTTCCGACAATTCCGGTTTCTCTCGAATCAATTCATCAGCCGACTGTTGTAATTGTTGAAGACGATCTTTATTGCTCGCAATTTCAGCCTCAAATGCCTGATGTCTTGTCCATTTACTATGTACTGTCTTTGCACTACGATAAGTTTCATCCTGCGCCGTGATATGTTTCTCCTGTACCCATTCACCCAATTCCTCGCAATCTTGTAAAAACATTTGCAATTGCAATTGATCGCGAAGCTTTTCCATTAATTGATTTGCCTTCTCTCTATTAACATTACGACGATCATTAACACTTTCAGCTTTCTTTTTCACTTTATCAGCAGCAAAATGTCCCTCCTCAACCAAACGTCCAGCAAATTGTACAACAGAATTAATTTTCTCATCATTTGCATCCATTGTTGTCATAAATGCCTCGTGACGTTTTATCAAATTTTCAGCTTGCTCGAAATTCGTCGGTGTCTCATCCTTAGCGAGTATATGCTCCTGTTGTGAAAGTAAAACTTCCGCTTGTCTCGCGTCACGATCAAATATCTGTAAATTCAATGAATTTGACAATAAATTCTGTCGATTTTCCCACATTTGATGAAGTTCCTCCCATCCTTCCTTAAGGGCATTTAATCTCTCCCTGAGGAACATGTATTGTGTATCACCATCGCCGGCCTCGCTTGTCAATCTCTCGCCATATTCCATCATTTTTTGATAATCATCCGTATAATTATTGATCTCTTCCTTAATATTTTGATGTTGTGTCAATAATTTCTCAGCGTCTGACAAACTTGTCGGTGTATCCTCACTGGCAACGTGTGTTTGCGTTTTGGTTAACCACGCTTGGAAATGATCCAAATCACGCAGGAATCTATGCAAATCACCAGCCTCTTCCAATTTTGCATCGCGTTCCTTAAGCATCTGTGTCAATTGCTCCCAAATCGAATGTATTTGTGTAATTCTTTCACGTATAACAGCTGCCTCTTCTGGATGATCTTGTTCAATAAGTTGCGCTTCTTTCTCCAATGCATCGAGTTTTGCTTGAATTGCCGCCAAATCACGTTCCATTCCACTGAGTCGACGCTGCAAAGTCATAACTCCCGTCAAATCCATTTCAAGACTATCAGTCTGCTGTAGAATACGTTTCTTATCCTCAATCCAAGAAACAGTTTCACGACACTCAATATGGAATGTTTGTACACCATGAGCTGAATTCAATGCCTCACGTTTACCTTCCGCCTTCTCACGTAATTCCGCCCATTTTTGATTCAATTCATTCTGTCTCGCGACAATCTGTTCAGAATTTGGATGTTCCACATGCAACAATTGTCTCGCCAATTGATTAACCACAGCAACACGCGATGCATTTGCATTCATTTCCTTCTCAAATCCATCATATCTATGCTTCATTATTTCCACATCCTCGATATCCTTCGCCGGTACCATTGTATCCAACATTCGATTCTTCTCACCTATCCATTGTTCAACACCATCCGATTCACTAAACAATTTATAAAGCGAAAGAGCGTCCAACAATCGTTGTTTTCGTAATTTTGCCAATTCAAGTAATTCCTTATATCTCGAATCAATTGACGCCAATCTCTCCAAAACCTCCGGCGATTTTGCATCCTGTTCACCGAGTTGCGACGCCTGCACATGTAACTGATCAATTGTCGATCCATAATTCTTCAATTCATCAGTAACATCCTTATGTTTCTTCAACAATGATTGCACATTAGCCTCATCTCTACCAACATCTTCCGACGAAACCAAACGCAATGTATCCAACATCCAAATATCAACATCGTCAGCGTCGGCAAACAATTGATGATAATCAACAGCCTCCTCGAGACGTTTACGTCGAAATGCCGCCAAATCAAGCAAATGATTCCACATTGACAAAATTTCTTGCAATCTCTCCTGAATACGATCAGCGCCAAAATGTTGCTGACGCACCAATTCACCGCCAACATCAGCAACCGACATCAATTGCATCTCATGCGATTGTATTTCATTCAACAATGCCTTATGTTTCGACAACAAAAGATTTATTGTCGTTAAATCATGACCAATATCGCCCGTTGAAACAATTTGCTCATTCTCCTTAATCCAATTCTCCTCATCGGCCATATCCCAATAAAATTGCCAAAGTTTACGCGATTCCTCAAGTCTCGCTCGTCTCTCAAGTGCCAAACGCACAAGTTCCGTGTAAGCATCCTGCAATTGTTGTACACGTTCCACAATAATTGTCGGATCACATGGACGATAGCCCTCGCCCTGTTCCAAAAATCTCTGACTCTGATGAACAACCGCTTTTACTCTCTCGCCCAAAACATTAATATCCGCCTCAACCAACGAATGTTTCTGCAACAAATCCTCAACTCCCATCAAATGTTTACCATAATCATCAGTCAATAAACGATTCTTAATCTCCTCCATACTATCAAGAATATACAACATCTCTTGAAAGTTCTGCTGCAATTGCAATGACATTTCAAGCCTCGTTCTCCTGGCCCTTAATAATTCAAGCAAATAATTCCACAAACGCAATACATTATCCTTACGCGCATTAATTCTCTCAATATCATGATAATTCTCCGCCTCTAATTCTTGTGAAACTGCCATAACCGCCTGCACACGTTCTTCATATGCAAAAATATCAGTTTCAATAGCCTCATGTTTTTTCGCTGCCGCCTCAACTGCCGCAAGATCAAAACCAAAATTATCCTGCGATACAAGTCGTTGATTCTCCGAAAGCCAAGTCTCACGCATACTCGCCTTTCTATTAAATCTCGCTGCCAATTGTTCCAATTTCTCCTGACGTATAAGCTCCTCTCTCAATGCCAATTCACGTTCATGTTCAGCTTTTTCCAATCTCTCCCATGCTTTATTAATATCCGATATCATTTTACCCTCTTTTGGTGTATATGGTTTTTGATTATTGGCTCTCATTTTCGATTGCAATGTAAATAACAACACCTCCAAATTACCCTTCTCAACAAATTTCGGCGGTTTCTCAACAGTACGATAATTCGAAAATTGTGACAATTGCGATTGTACACCAACCAATGAATTAGCAAATCTCCTATCACCCAATGCATCAATTGTCGATTCAATCCATCGTAATAATTCACTTGTCAAACTCTCATATTCATGTATCATTCTATCATTCTCCATTGCAATACCAACAACCTTACCAATTCTTTTACCCTGAACTGTTTCCTGCTTCATTTTTGAAAAATAATGATAATACGTCACCACATATGTAATAATTGATTTCTCATCGGGATGATCGACAAATATATCTTCAGCGTCAAGTAGTTTTATCAAACCAAGTTTATCCTCAGCTACATTAAATGCATTATTAAGATTATAAATTGCATTTGATTTTGATAATCTATCAAATTGTATTAAATCAGAACGATGTTTGTGTATTATTGCATTAAATGCCAAACCATCGCGCCATGATGTTGTGAAATTTCTCACATTAACATTATGATAACCAGCTGTTTTCATTTGACACCACAATAATAGTGCATCTTTTGCCGATTTTGTCTCTTGATTGTCTGTCTCTTCAATTGTGATATCTTGAATTTGAAAACGTAATATAATTGTCCATATGAGACCTAAACTTAAACGTGGATTACCATCGACAATATCGTGTGATCCCATATTTTCAAGATGTACTCTTTGTTCACGTAAAAATTGCAATGCCTTGTCAACATTTTCTAAACAATGAATACGCATTTTACCCTTTGTTGGTCGTGGTAAACGTTCGCCTGACAATATTTCTAATAGTTTTATTAACATTTTTCCATCGCGAAGATCAACATAGAGATCACCTATTCGACAGGAGCATCTCACTAAATGGGAATTGACCCATTTTTGAAAGGTTTTTTTCTGCACTGATTCACGTTCGCCTGGAGAATAATTTTTAATATAAGTGATATTTAATTATTTCTATATATTAAGAAAAATTAAATTAAAACAATTAGGAAGTTGAATCAGTAAAGTGAAAATTTTCAATTGTAATCCATTTATACCAAAATTAATTTTCTGAAAAAACCAAAATTTTGGTCAAAAAAAAAAAACCAAACAACATTTTTGAATTATAAAAACTTTAATTTAAAAAAAACAAATATATTTGTTTTTTTTTAAATTTTAACTTTTTATACTTAAAAAAAATGTTTTTTGGTTTTTTTTTGCTCAGAATTTTGAGTTTTCAAAAAAAAAAAACAAATTTGTACACAAAATAAACGAAATAATTTTTTGGTCTATAAACTTTTTAAAAATTACTTTCGTAATAAAAAATAAAAAACTACATTATTGAATGAATTATTCATTTATTTTTTACTACAGATAACAATATTTTATACTAAAATTGGAATTTAAAAAATTTGTAAAAATTTTTTAGTTTATTTGAACGTACTGAAATTTCAGGTACATGTTATCAATTTAAAATGAACTTATCATTTTAATGTAATCAAATATTTTTTTGGGACAAATGAATCAGTCCTAAAAATTCATTAGTAAGAATTTTGTTTGATAAAATTTCATTAGATAAATTTTTTTAGCCGAATTTTTAATTCTTTGAATTTATATTTAAGGAAATTTCTAATGATTTTTTTTTTTTTTTTGAATTATTCATGCTTTTCAAAGAATTAATATAAAAACTGAAAGTTGGTTAAAAACCAAAAAGTATGAAATGTAAATAAAATAATAAATAAATTAATTAATTAATTAAAAATCTTACCTGCAAGGGCCTTAATTCGAGAACGTTCAAAAAGTCTTGAACTGGAATTTCCTCCATCGTATTCGTACTCGTCGACAATCTCCTGTTGTGGCGTCGATTCCCAACCGGAACGCACCACTGAGATGTCGGTCGTCATTTTGCTAATCGGACCAACAGCTCACTGATTCTCTACCCTTTTTTAAGGGCACTTCTGTAACAAAATAATAAAGATTTTATATTCATTGGCTTTCATATACAACTTCAACTTTTTTTTTTTTTTTTTTTATCAATTTCTATATATTTTTGAAATCGTGGAAACCGAATCCGTAGTCCATTTTACCCCATCATGTCAGGATTTTGATATAACCTCAAAAAGATTTCTCAGCCTCATAAAAAATGAAAATAATTCTTTCTAGTGGGTTATCACCTGAAAAAATTATAATTTTAAGAATATTTTCTTGGCACCTATTTAAGAATATTTCCCATGCATTTTATTCTTAAAGTTAGAATATAATATTCTTAAAATAAGAAACATTCCTTAAATTATAAATTTTTTTCTTTTCTCTGTAGAATATTTTTTAATTTAAGAATTGTTTTTTATTTTAAGAATATAATGCATGGAACATAATCTTAAATAGGCGACAAGAAAATATTTTTTTAGATTTTATTTTTTTTAGTGGCAGACTATACTTATTTTGTTTTTGGGTTGCTGAAACCAAATCCTAAATCCATTTTACCCCATAATGTCAGGTTTTTAATATAACCTCGAAAAAAAGAGGAAAAATGCCGCATACCAGAATTATTTTTTATGTTTCTGTAAAGTCTTTTTGAGGACGATTCTGCAGTACGCAAAGTTTATGATCAACGATTAAAAGTCAATTTTTATTTAACACTGAAATTGTAAAATTGTTTGCTAAAAAAAATTATTTGTTTTATAATTTGTTGATTAATAATCACTACAAGAAATATTTTTCAGGCAAAAAATTATAAAATTTTTCATTCTAAAAAGTTATTTCTTTAAAAATCGTTTATCATAATCGTTGCGTACTTCAGCTTTGTTTTTGAGGTTACGTCAAACGCCTGACATGATGGGGTAAAATAGACATCAAATATGGTTTCTAGCGACCCTAAAAACATATGGTAAATATATCCTTATGCCCAAGACAAAATTATTTTTTTTCTTTTTGTTTACTGTGACATTTTGAGGTTATGTCAAAAATTTAAGGTGATAGGGTACCCGTGTGGAAATTAATCGTTGAAGTCGAGCTATAGCTAGCGCTACCACTGGATTCGTGATGGCAGTCTAGCCTAGCGATTTCACATAATGCAGAAAAATTATTTAGTAATTTATGGAAATTTATGAGGTAATTTATGAAATTTTGAGGTAATTTGTAATTATAATACAAACAAAATTCAAGATTCAAAAACTATTGCAGAAAATTTACGTGGTAATTTACGGAAATTTATGCGGTAATTTATATTAATATATAAAAGAAAAATTTGAAAATTAATTTTGGAAATTTATAATCTCCATGAAGTTGGCGTCGACGCTAAGCGCCGAAAACGGTTTTTGACAGGACTAAAAATGTTAAATTATTTTTTTTTTTAAAGATTTTCGATCCAAATAATGCCTTGAGAAATACTTTTCAAGGTATTATGTGGACCCAAAACTTTTTTAAAAATGATTTGATACTTTTGGTCCGTGAAAAATAATTATCGACGCCAACTTCATGGAGGTAATTTAAAGGTAGTTTATGAAATTTTTAAGGTCATTTATAATATATAAAAGAAAATTTTAAAAACTAATTTTGGAAATTTATAGGGTAATTTATTAAGAAAATTTAATGGAAATATAAATTATGTTGTAATGTTGAAAATTATTTTTTGTACGTGACTGTGTAATCAATGTTAATTATATAAATAACTGAGATATTATCTTAAACAATTCAGATTAGATATTATTTTATATATATACATAATTAAAATATAATTATTATTATAATATAACTAAAATAATAAACTAATATTGATAAATGTGAAGAAAATCAAGCGAAAAAATTACATTCATTTTCAAATGTAACAGGTGTCTTATGAATTTTGTATTATAATCTTTACATAACATGAGTATTCTAAAAATACATTCCTCCTCAATGTACTCAAGCAATTACTGAGTCATTTAACAAGCATAATCCTTCTTTTTTCGAGATGATAAATATCAATAAAAAAAAAAAAAAGTGGAAGGGGGAGACCTGCTGCTTTGGGTGTGGCAAATAAACATCGGTCATATAATGTCACGTGTCAAGTGTTATCAGCCAAGTTTAAAAGTCAAACTGTTTGCTTTTATTTTTCCTCTAAATGGAAATAGACACGAGACTTGAAAATCGATTTCTGAATTAAATTCAACACAAAAATATATAGTTTAATAGTAAACTTATATCGTCTAAAGAAAATTGTATATATATATATATATATATATGTGTATTCTTCCTAGCCGCGCCCAGTGCATTGACTCTTTGTCAACTATAGTCTATAATCTTTTTTATTATATAAAAATATAAAAGTAATAAATTCAGACTAGACGATATAAAGATTATTCACGATAAAGTTCATCAATATCAGTTGAATTTATTGCAAATTGGTATATAGAAATTTGTATTCAACTAAATGTAAATATATATGTGCGTGGGCATTGAGAACCATCATCGTACGATTACATCATGTGCGTGATGTCACATAAGCAAAATATATATATACATACACGACTTTGGAGTCGAATTTGTAAATAGTACTAGCAAAGGTAAAATCTTTCATGTACAGTTTTATTGAACAAGGCTCACGTGCTTGTTGGATATATCTAATATTGTGTTTTTTATAGGTCATAAACTCGATGGAGAAAAAAAAAATTATTAAAATTATTTTCTCTATTTGCAATTTTTCAAGGTCATTTTATAAAAAGACAGAGAAAACATTTATATGAAGGTTTTTCCAAGTCAAGGTGTACAAGCGATGAAAAACGATCGAATTGTCAAAACAATTTTTGTTATTTTCTTTTCCTTGTACAAATAGAATTGAATTTTAAACAATTTTTTTTTTTCTAAAGAATTATCGGCACGCATAAATAATATAAGTTCTAAATATTATTAATTAGAATTTTATTTAATATATAATTATTTTTAAGTCGAATTTTTATTTGTTCGAATTATTTTGCAGAATTTTCATTAAAAACCGATTTTTTACATTACAGAAATTTTATATAACCAAAAATTCAGTTTACAGAATTTTTATTTGTTCATTGCATAGAATTTCCTATTAGAAGGATTTTCGACTTATTATTTGATATAGGATTTCCATATAACCAATTTTTGCATGTAGCAGAATTTCTAATTCGCGATAGAATTTTCATTTTATCCGAAATTATAAAGGCGCTGTCACACCTTTTTGGCTGCCTGCAGGTTACCATGGCAACGCATGAGAGTGAGTGCGACAGAAAATTTGAATATACAAATTTTCAAATTTTCTCTCTCACTCACACTCGTGCGTTGCCATGGTAACCTGCAGGCAGCCAAAAAGATGTGAGTGCGCCATAAATATCCAACAAACATAACCTACAAAAAGATTTTGGCGCGATTTTTAAAATCATCCAATCAAAAATTATCCATAAAATTATGATTGGTTGATTTTAAAAATCGCGCCAAAATCTTTCTGTCGATTGTTTCTTCGGATATTTGCAATTTCGGACAAATGAAAATTCTATCAATTAGAAATTCTGTTACATTATTTTTTTTCAGTTAAGTAAATAAACTTCTGCAATACGAAAAATCGATTTTATATGAAAATTCTATCAAATAATAATTCAAAAAAATAAAAATTCGTCTAAACAAAAAATTTTATGCAATGAAATTTTATAAAATAAAAATTCTAAAAAAATGATTTTTAGAACTTATTCATGCGTCCCGAATTATCATCATTTTAAGTTGTTAACATTGTTAATTACTTTTCAATTATCACTATATTAGTTTACTACTACGATAGTTTTTTTAATTTAATAATATTTTAACGTAAAAAATTTATTAACGTAAACTTACTTTTTTTTATTTATTGTTCTTCTTATTTTTTACTTAAAGATTTTTTGTAATTAATTTAAATGACATCAGACAAATATAAAAAAAAAACGAAATTATTGAAATTATCTTTTATATTATTTTCGTAAGTTATGTAATAACACAGCACCTGAAAATATTTAAGTTTTCAACAGATGAGATCATTGCAAGAAACAAGTGAGCTTTATCATGTGATACAATATATAAGTCTTCTATTAAGTATCATCATCTTATAAGCAAACATTGATCAAACATTTATAATAGTCTCTGTGTGTAATAATAGTAAAAATTTAAACTTGAGGAAAATTTTCCAAACTTTTCACTGATAATATTTACGATAATTTTTTTTCTATATAAAAAAAATAGAATCCTATATATAAAATGAAAAAAATATTTTTAACTTTTTTTAAATTAAAATCGTTAATTATTATCGGAAAAATATACGAAATCATTAAAAAGAAATAAAAGGCAATGTTTTTCGACATAACATATATATCTTATCAGAAAGATAATTGTAGGCGACTAAAGAAAAAAAAAAAACTCCTACTAACTAATATGGAAGGCCTATAGAGTTGCATTTCACCTGATGAGAAAGGAGAGAAACGGTCCAGCGACATTCTTAAATTGTCAACTCTTGGGTACTTGTTTAAAACCATCTTTTAAATAGTATATATATGTTCAGATCTGTCATTCCAATTGACCTTTTAGATTTGTTCTACTCATAAATTATTTATGACTTATAAAGTTCTACAGCGGGTCAAACATATAAAATTAAACATCTCACATAAATTTTAATTGAACTTTTTGTTTTTTTTCTGAGCGCCTTATAAACAGCCGCACTCAAAAAAAAAAAAAAAAAAAAACTTCCTGTATATATGATAATATTTAATTGCATCACAAAAATAATTGACCAATTTATCAGGTAAAAACGATTTTAATTTTTTTTTTTTAATTATCAATAACAATATATTTATGATCAAAAGCGAAAGATAACTAAAAAAGTAAATTAAATAGAAAGGTAACTAAGAATAGAAACGTCTATACAAATGATAACTAAACACCTGATATCTAAAAATAAGGATAACTGAAAAAATGATACTAAAAATAAAGA